TCCACGTGTTTAATGTGGGATTCCTCATCTTCTGAAAAGATGATTACGTCATCGACATAAACATAGCAAAATTTGCCAATCTGCTCTCGCAGTATGTCGTCGATGGTTCTTTGAAAGATGCTTGCTGCATTCTTTAATCCAAAGGGGAGTCTTTTGAACTCGTATTTCCCCCCGTTCACAGAGAAAGAGGTTTTTTCACGGTCGCGTTCAGCGAGTATGATCTGGTGATAACCAGACTTGAGGTCTAATGTTGAAAAGAATTTGGCTCTCCCCAAATTCCCCAATATCATTGATATATTTGGCATAGGGTATTTGTCCGGCACGGTTTTTTCGTTAAGTTTACGAAAGTCCATTACCAACCTCATTTTCCTATTGCCCGCTTCATCAGTGCCCTTCTTGTCTACTACCCATATTGGGTTATTGTAGGGAGAGACGGACTTTTGAATTATATCATTCTTTAGTAGATCTTTGATTTCTTTATTAACGAAATCAGCCGCTCCCATTGGATATGGGTAAAGCTTGGCATAGATCGGTTGCTCGTCTGTAGTCCTAATGGTAGCCACGACTGATGTGTTATACGGCAACGCCTCGTCTGGGTCTGCAAAGGCCTTTTGTCTGGTCTTCAGCATTTTCAAAAAAGAACTTCTAACTAATGGGGATGCGTCTGCACAGTCTACATTTGTGAAATTTACATTTTTGCATTTGTGGAAGGTGATTGGTTCGACCTCCGTGCCCCACTTAAGTTGTCCTGAAGCTAAACAAAGCGAAGCAGATGCCTGCTTAAGCAGGTCAAGGCCTATAATCCCATCAAAGGTTGATAAGTCCGGCAGAATAAAAAAAGTTGCTTTTAACCCAAACATTGAAACAAAGCATTTGTGTGTAATTTGTGTCTCGCCGTGAATGGAGTGAATTTTGAAGGGGGACTCTACCGAGCGGACGCCTTTCAACCCTTTATGTGGCCGAATGAAATTCTTGGCCGCGCCCGTGTCTATGAGGAATTGCATGTGAGTCCCTCCTACTCTTCGTCTGATGACGGGTAGAAGGGATTTACTCCTAAAAAATTAAGGGCATCAGAGTTATAACTAGTAACGTCATTGATTTGTGCCGCTGCGCTGGAGGCAGCATCAGCACACACCTCTGCCCCCTGTCCCGCGCCTTGCGTGACGTGATTCAACCTTTGCTGCTTTCTCAGACCGCCTGTGCGGTCAGATGCGGGGTGCTTCTTGTTCGCGTAAGCAAGGGCCTGAGTGGGCTGCATTACCCTTGAAAAGGAAGGATCGACCTCCATGGGCACTGGTGCGCCATTATTGTTGTGCTGCCTGGTGCTTCGTGGGTCAGTCCGAAATGGGGCCCTGTTTTGCTTGCTAAAGTGCGGATTCTTTGTACCGCTAGCTTGTCTTTCGGCTTGATGCGAATACCTCTCATATTGGTGACCCTGCGCTTTTGCATGCGGCTTGCGCTCTTTGTCTTCAAGACTTTTTGCAAAATTAGCCGCGAATGAGTACCTTTCGTGATTCGACTCGACCTCTTGCGCGAGAGCTAGCGCTGAAGGCAGATCTCTGGGCTTTGCTGCAAAGAGCACATCTGTTAGACTGCGCTTGAGACCCGATATGAACACACGCAACGCATCGTCGCGGAATTTTTCACATAGGCCCTTTGCTAAAGCCGGCTCATATGACATATTAACTTTGTTTGTGAGAAGAGCGAGTTTCTTCTCTACTTCATCATAATATTGAAGCAGGGACAGGCCACCTTGCCTCAAGGTACTTAATTCTTGTTCAATGACATGAATTGGTCTCTTATCACTGTATGTGAAATCTAGGCGATTTATTATCGCATCAAAATTCAGCACAGTACCAAATGAGGCTAGCACCGCGTCTGCGGGGCCCCTAATCTTGCTTCTTATGATGATGACGGCCTGATAATGACGAGAACTGCCATTATACGGTCTGAAGATCTCGTAAGTGGCTAATGCTGCCTGCCTCCAAGATACATACGATTCCTGTACCCCTGCAAACTCAGGTAAGCATTTGACGGCATCTAGTGGCTCGTCACAGTGAATATCGTTCCTAATTCCTATAGCAGCATACGCTACTACTTGTGGGGCGGCAACGTTTGCTACCGCTATTTGTTCAGCTAACTCATTAATTCGTTGAGTTAATACATGTTCCCTCTGCTGGTTTACAGCGGCCTGTTCGGCTAAAGCTTTGCTAGTAGCCGTCCTTATTATTTCCGTAAGCTGATCTGCATCCATTCTACCTGATGGTGGGGGAACTACACAGTCGGAATCTGAGTCGCTAGACTGCCTGCGAGGGTTTCTATATTGGTTGAACCGAGACATGCGCAGGTCAGTGGTCGCGAAAAATAAAACGGGCCGTCAGAAGATGGGTCGAATTACGTCACAGCTCTGAACTACGAGAACTGCATGCACAACTTCAGACACACAGAAAGTAACACAATGTAATTTTATTGACGATCTGAATGATCAATTGCTGCCACTAAAATTCCCAAAGTAGTCACTCTCACTTGGTTCTGATCATTAATTTTTTTTTTTTTTTTTTTTTTTTTACATGCAATTGCAATATAAAATACTCGCTAGTCCTAGGTATTTTTTTATAAAATAAATTTTAACACTTTTTGTGTTTGAAGAAAAATTTTGGCTAGAGTATCCACTTACAAGATTCAACTAACACAAAACAAAAAAAAAAAATCCCTTTATAAGATCTGTCAATTGCAGCTCCCGCGCTGCTGTCTTAATTGTTGTTGGTTGTGGAGTCCGACCACTAGTTGGGCGCCAATTATATGATTTCCAGTCCTGTGGTGACTGAAAGTTAGGTTGAGAGGCGACTGTGCCTCTTATTGCTGGCCTCGGGCTCAGACAATGAAATAAGCCATTTAACGAGCAAATGACGGAGTGAATATTTATTTAAGCGGTTTACTGGAAGAACGCTTTTTAACCCTGCTTTTAATTGTTCTTTTTTGAATAATCGAAACAGTTAATTTTATTGGTTTTTCTTATTATATTCACTATTTTTAGTTTTACTTATATGACACCAATTTTTAGCATGTCCTATCAGTACGAGTTAAAACACGAGACTGATCTATATTTTTACAAATCATAGCCTCACCGGCGTAAGTAGAGTTGCTCTTGCCAGGGCTGTTCCTTAACTTGTCTAGCACCCGATAATAAGTGTTGAATAATACCTAACATTAAGTGTTATAAGCTAACTAAGTGTTATAAGTTAACTTATATATATATATTCATTTGGCAAATGTGTCTATGTATATGTATATATGTATTTATCTAGATCTAGCTCTAGCTCTCTATCTATTGCCGACACAGCACAGCACAGCGCAGCGCAGCGCATTTTATTTTTAGATAATTGCTCTTCCTCTTCACAATTTGGCAGCGATCCAAAAGCCAAAGCAAAGCAAAGCAAAATAAATAAATTCAAGATTTTTTTTTGCAAAAAAAAACCAAAAAAAAAAATTAGTAATAACAAGAAAAATGCTAATCCCACAATGATCCACAGTTTACATGCGCCCCACCCACCTTAGCCACTCAGCACCTATAACCAGACGCTATATCTATATGCGTATAGGCAACTGTACGTCTATTGCTCTATGGCTATATCTATGCATCTATCTACATGAATCATTGAGCCTTGCAGCTCTTGAGACATTATCATTGTCTGATAACAATAGCTTAATGACTTTCAAATAATATGTATATATATATATATATATATGCATAGATTACAGATTCTTGATAAGTTCATGATGTCATTGAAAACTAACTGGGAATTTTAACCATATCTGAAAGTTTGAAAGTTTCAAAGTTCAATTCGAATTGCGACTGACTTGAAGATACCCTGGCCAAATCGGGCTTGTATATAGAGAATTAAGGTAATATATAAAGAAACTATTGTGAATTACTTTCAGCTTAGTTAGTTCGTTATATATAAATATCTTGATCAGCATTGTTGTCATGATATTTAGTACAGCTCCTCTCTACGTCTGGCTTTTGCTTCGCAGCGCTCATTGCACTTAGATCTTAAATTATAGATTGAGGATCGCACATCCTAGATCAGTGGTCATAGATCATAGAACAAGAAACATATAACATAGTTGCTATCAGAAGTCCTAAATCATAGATCATAGATCAAATATCAAGAAAATCATGGAAGATCATAGATCCTTGATTATTGGTCATTGGGTAAAGAAAATAAATCATGGATTATAGATCATAGATTATAGATCAGTGATCATTGATCGTACATCGTATATCAAGAATATCATAGAAAATCTTAGATTCCAAACTCATAGATTCCAAACTCATAGATCATAGATCATAGATCATAGATTATAGATCATAGATTATAGATCATAGATCATAGATCATAGATCATAGATCATAGATCATAGATCATAGATCATAGATCATAGATCATAGATCATAGATTATAGATCATAGATCATAGATCATAGATCATAGATCATAGATTATAGATCATAGATCATAGATCATAGATCACAGATCATAGATCATTATGTAAACATAACAGATTACAGATCATAGATCATAAATCAGAGACTATAGATCATTGATCATAGATTATGTATCATGAATATCATAGCATCTAGCTTGTAGGTTTTTGATTAATGATCATAGATCATAGATCCCAAGCCATATATATATTCTAGAATCTAGATCCTAGACCCATAAACGGAGATCGTTGGTCATAGATCATAGCATAATGCTCAACATATGAGTAGTCCAATCACTACACCATATAATTGCCATGGAAACAATTAATCATTAGTTAAGCAACCCTTCCTATTTTCAAGTAATTTATAAATAAAGCACATTCTTGTACGACCTTTAAGTAAAATCTGTCCATAAATCAGCATTTAAATAACATTTTAATACAATTTTGATAAAACAATTGAGAATATATTTGATTAAAAAGTTGTTGAAAGGCAATCAACAAAGCCTTGGCTTATTGGATGACACATGCCATACATGTGTGTATATCTCGCACATATATATATATATATATATAAAAAAAAGTTAAGATATCGTTAACATGTCTGTGTGCCTTGTACATTGGCGAAGCCTATTTTTACTTATCTGAAAGGCTAATCTATTGGTCGCTCGCTGATTGTCTTGCATTGATGTGTGATGTGGGCGTTGAGTGCGTGGCCCGACTAAGAAAAAGAAAATACATCGATAATTGTTGTGTTTCGATAAACGATTACTGAGCCTAGCACAACGACTGGCAGCTCAACATGGCGGCCGCACAATACCCTGGAAATTGCAGACACTTCAAAAAGAAGTCGGCGGCGCTCTGCAGAAAACAGGGAATCGGATCAATAATATAACGGGCATACAGTACACTCAAGACTCGCCGATTACTTACCCGAAAACAGCCGCAGCATTGGGCCAACAAATATGTCCAAATGTAGAAGAAAGCGCCAACGATTGCCACAACCAGCGATACCAAGATCAACACAATCAGCCAAAATATGAACCACAGCGGATTTCTCATATTATATACATATATATATAAATATGTGTGGTTTATGATAAGTGCTTAGAGTAAACAATTCATCAATATATATATAGACACATATATATATATATATATATACTCTCACGGATCGCACAAGCACAACTTTACTTGACGTCTCGTTAGCTGGCACTGGGTCTTGTCATGGACTCGTTGAGCGACTGCTCCATGTCGTGCTAATCGGGCTATCTAAACTTTGAGTGGCTACGTCAATGTTGACCAGCACAGAGACAGAGAGAGAGAGAGAGAGAGAGAGAGAGAGAGAGAGAGAGAGAGAGAGAGAGTGAGTGAGTGAGTGAGTGAGTGAGATAATTACGTTAGGGCCACTCCTAATATATTCTAAAGACGGATATATGACTATATGAACTTTGTATGACTTAATTTTCAGTTTTATTATGACCATAATTTGTGAATGCGCCTCGCCAGATAGCCCAATTGCAGCTAGGGGGTAGAAAAAACGAAGCATATTCATTTAATTAAGCGAAATCAAAAGGAAAGGAAAGGAAAGGCATAAGCAGAATTTATGAGAATCGCATTGAAAGGTCAGCTTAGCATAAGGTTGTGACAGAGAAAGAGGAAAAGGCTTCATTCCTCTCTTCCTCTTTCTCTGTCACACTGAAGGAGAAAGAAAGCGCAAGAGGAACAGTGAAGACGAGAGAGAGTAAGAGAAATAAAGAGAGAGAGAGAGAAAGAGGGAGTAAGAGAGAGAGAGAGAGAGGTAGAGATAGAAAAGGAACGAGTAAGTGAGAGGGAGATAGGAGAGAGTAGAAGAAGGAGAGGATAGAGTCAGCGTGACGGAGAGGAGAAGAGATCATATATGAATATAATGATAGTGATAGGGAAAGAAGAAGCGAGAGAGAGAGAAGGGACTAAGGGAGGAGAAAATTATCACTTATGAAAATAGCAATAGCAAAGGAAGGAGTAAGAGTGCGAGAGAGAGAACATAAGCAGTTACTGCTCCTAAAAGTTCGATGCGGGATTCAGGCTAATTAATGTCAAGCCTCTATAGATGGTAGAGTTAAGGTTCAATGTTACCGTTACGCTTAACTGTTGGCACAACTGTTAGTGTAACTGTTACTGTTACTGTTAGCGACGCTTTTACTGTCAAAGCAGCACAGAGAACTAGTAACAAAATCTACAAACTAGATATTAAATTCGAAGTGCGAACAACTAGTCTGCAAAGCAGTACAACGTTATACGTTAAGTGTTATACAATGGCAGAATAATAAATTCAAAAATCAAGTCACAGCTAAACTCATTCCACAACACATCGAATTCAATACGTATCATATATATATATCTATATATATATATATATACATATACATATAGATGGTAGAGTTAAGGTTCACTGTTACCGTTACTCCGCACAGTTGCCATTGTCAGTGTTACTGTTACTGTTGCTGTTAGCAACGCTGTTACTGTTAAAGCAGCATAGCGAGTAAGTAACTGTGCGTTGGGCCTTGACCACATCTACAAACTAGATAAGAGATTCGAAGTACGAACAAAGCAGTACAACGTTAACTGTTATACTTGTGATGTAATCTAAGCAAGCTGCAACAATAGCAGAAAAATAAATTCAAAAGTCCAAAATCAAGTCACAGCTAAGCTCATTCCACAACACATCGAATTCGATACGTATATATAATATATATCTATATATATATATATATGTATATATATATATATATACATATACATATAGAGAGAGGCACATATCATTGTAAAATTGGGATGAACATCAAGCGGAAGTACAATGTGGACGATCCCACGGAAGATGCGCTGAAGGCATCGATATTTGCTCAACAGATCTATACGAAGCCAGTTCGCAAGCCCGAAGATCTGGGCAAATGGAGGCGTTCGCACGCCTACTCTGATTTGGTGGCGTACATCAATAACACCAGCATGGCTATACAGGGTCATACACAGGACGGCAACGACTTCATTGTCTCCAGCCAGATGAGCAAATTGTGCAAGATCTTCAATTGGCTGGATCGTTTGGTATACGAATGCCATCCATTGGGCGTTGGCCAGGGCATGCTGCGCTGCGTCGGCGAGGACAGAATCAACGTGATGGAGTCGACCGTGTCGCTGCGCCACAAATGCCATCACGCCTACCGGCACTGGGTGAAGCTGGTCCAGGAGCGAGTCTATTCCATATTGGAGCGCCAGATCAAGCCGCACTGCAAGCACATCAACGAGCTGGCCCAATATCTGACGCGCTCGTTTGGCAGCCTCCACAACTTTGACTATGGACCCGGCCATGAGCTAATGTTCGTGTTCTATTTGTGCAGCTTGTTCAAGGCCGGCATCTTGGGTGCCGAAGATACAATTGCCGCTGCTCTATTGCTATATCAAAGATATTTGGATTTGGTGCGTCACCTAACGTCATTCTTTCGCTTGGCGCCCAGCTACAAGCGCGACAACAATGTCATCGACGATCGCAATGTCTTGCCCTATATCTGGGGCTGTGCCCAGCTGTGCCGGAAGCAGCCCTTTGCGCCACCGCAATGGGAACAGCCGGAAATAATGTCGGCACACCGCAAGAGCTATATGCTGCTAAGCAGTCTGGAGCATTTGCAAAAGACGATGAACTATGCGGCTTTGGGTGTCCATTCGTATCAGCTGTGGTGTGTCCTATCCCTGTCCAATTGGCCAGATGCATACGACGGCCTGATGGGCACCTATGTTAAGTCTGTGCTCAATGATTTTTGCACCGTGCAGGACCTCGTTTTTTGTGAGATGCTGAGCGTTACGCGCCAGCCTTTCGAATACCTCCAACGGGCATTTTTGGGTGAGGACAAGGAGGAAGCATCGTCCTTGTCGACGGAGGATACCGATCAATCAGATGAAGACGAGGAATCTGACTTACAGCTGTTGGACTCGCGACATCTAAAAGCGATCAAGAAGAAGGAGATGCGCCATACCAGAGCTCAGATACTTTCAGCTGCCTGTCCGCCCATTTCACTGCATAATAATCTCCGGACCGATGTCTTTTTGGGCTTCAAGAATCCGAGCAAGCTTAGCAGTGAGCCGGACGCAGTTAGTGCCAATGTGTTGCGGCGGCCGCGCCTCCAAAGCGACGTCATTCGTCGAGACTCCACGGCACAGATATTAGCGAATGAGAAATCCAACCCCAACAAGAAAAGAACTTCCATTGAATCGGGCAACAGTGCTATGCTGAAGAAATTGACCAATAGCTATTCGGAACAGTCATACTACACCATTTGATCTGAGTGTACGCCGAGTAGCTATGAATGCGCTCGCGAGCTCATAAGGTCAATCAATTATTTGTCCATATATTTACAATTATACCTACATACACCTATATATACACAGATGTTTTGTTGGTACGCGTGTAATACGCAGAACGAGGGTTGCCCTTGAAGTATATACTTATATTTTATTGATTAGGAGCAACAGCCAAGTCACTGTAGCTGCCAGACGGGCAGGCGAACGGATATAGCGCTGGGCAGACGGTTGGTATGCTCCTCCGTCTGTCTGCACAGCTTAACATGCAGGTCAGGGTATCTTTTAGTCGGATATTTAAAACTAAAGAGTATCTAAATTCATATATATATATGTACACATGCAGCTGAGGGTATCTTCTAGTCGAGTATATCCAACTAAGCTAATATAAATTCAAAAACGGCCGCAATTGCAGCTTAGGGTATCTTCTAGTCGAGCACGCCCAACTAAAAAGTATCTAAATTCTTTAAATGTATATATGCAGCTAAGGGTATCTGTCAGCCCAGTATACCCAATTAAAGGGTAACTGAATTCATATACATACACTAATACATAGATAGCTATTCACTAGCTTAGGCAACGCTGCTAAAACATTAAAAAGGGTATCTCTACCTCTCCCTCTCGCTCTCTCTGATCAAATGGTATAAATTTCTGCATAGTACACGCTATGGTCTCTGTAACTATTTGCCTCTCGCTTGCGCTCGCATTCGCGCTGACGCTGCCGTTTGCCATTTTCTCGCACTCTCTCCCTCTCTCTTTCACTCTAATTCAGTCTTGGACATCAAATTCGCAGCTGTTTTATTTTGTTAGTGTGTTTTGTGTTTGTGTTTGTATTTGTGTTCATCTGTGTTTTATGTTTGCTTGTCTGATTGTGCGACAACAAATGATTCAGTTGGTCTTTAACTGGAACTTATTAATTTCTACACACACACACTCACATTCTAGTTGAACGTCTCACGCAACTTGTTATTATTATTATTATTATTATAGTTGTTCTTGTTGTTGTTGTTGCTGCTGCTGCTGTTGATATAGTCGTTATTGTTATTGTTATTCTTATTGTATTTCCACTGTCACTGCCGCTGCTGCTGCTGCTGCTGCTGCTGCTTCTTGCTCATCATCTTCATCTGCTTTGCCTTTCACACATAATGTTAAGTTCATAAAGAACAGCACATCATTGTTATGGCAGCTGATAAACTGCGCGCAAATACACACACACACACAAACAGTCGTATACGTGCGCATGTCTCGTATACGCACTGTAAGTCAGATATAAATTTAAACCAATTTTCTATACATATTTTTGTGGGGCAATTAAAGTCATTTTGTTAAATAGATCTGTTTTCTATGCCCTTGTGGAGGTTATGGATATATTATATATTTAGCATGATATGACATGATATGATCTGAAAGCCATCCAACAACTCAACGAATTTGCAGACCTGAACTTATTCATCATGTTCATATCCTATCATTGTCTAATTGATTACAAAAGATCGATTACAAGTTGATAATTTTAAACAAAAACTAGATATTAAGCCACACATATATATAGTTACGAATATACCTTGATCCGGCCAGTTATGTTAATTATAGGTAAGCCCAATTCCACGAAATCGCAAAGAACTTTACCTAAGCAATCAAATTAAGCGATAGCAAATTGTTATCGATAGAAATTCGAAACGAAATGAACTTTTAAGCGAGGCGTACACATAAATACATAAATACATATGTACATATGTATGCATGTGTGTGTGCATGTCATCAAGCTAAAACCAGTTACGCCGAGAATAGAAATTTGGTAGAAAAAAAGCGTTTGAACTGTTATTGACCATTTAGTGGCTAACAAACACACACACGCACACTTAACTACAAACACACGAAGACAGGTGTGACGCTTTGACAAAAATAAATAAGTCACCTTACAAGTACTAATGAAACGTGTATACACACACATACATATATATAGGCTTATGTACATACATACACTCATACGTACAAATCTAAGCGTCTGTGTGTGTGTGTGTAAACAACAACTCAACGTCAGCAATTGGCGCGCAGTAGCTGCTGCTGCTGCTAATGTTGTTGTTATTGCTGCTGCTGCTACTGGTGTACACTCATGGTGAAAATATTTCAAAAATGTCTGTTAACTTAACAGCAGCGCTGTTAAGAGCGCTCGCAGCTTAGCAGCGATCTCATTCCAGCGTATTCAACACGCGCGCAAGCTTTTTGTCTTCTTTTTTGCGCTTCAAAAGAGAGTCGTTACGCCCAGCATGTGTACGCTCTGCCAACTGGCGTTACCACTCTCTTTCTCTGGGTCTCTCTTTTTCTTAAACGAAGACACACGCACACATACACACGCGTGCGCGCAGTCAAGCTCTGGCCACAATAGACACTACACACGAATGCAAAGTTGAACGCTGGCGTTGTTAGGAAAATGGGTAAAAGATTATATTGAAAAGAAGAAAGAAAAACTTGTTCCTTTCTAACAATGAGCGACAAGATTAGACGCCTTATCCGCTTGTTTGCTGCATCATCAGTTAACCAACTGGCTGCTTGCCCGGCACAACAGCAATAACAACAGCAGCAGCAACACCGCCAACTCCTTTAGCTCTTTCACCATCCACCGACCGCCACCTGCATAAAGCAGCCTCTCTCTTTCCACAGCTGACGACGCGACGTGCAGCAGCGCAACAGCAACAACAAAAGTAAAGCACACAAGACATGTGAGTGTCGTCTGAGAGTACCCGCAATACAGACGAACATACAGACATAGAAAAACGCATTCATACTTAAACGCATACATATGCATGCACACACACACACATGCATTTGTATATCTGGTAGTTGTTAAACTTGCTTGCTAACTTTGTCTACACGTGTGTGTATGTGTGTGTATGTTTGTAGGCTTCTATATGCATGCATGTGTGTATATGTTTAGTTGTCTATAGAAAAGTTCTCCAGCATCAGCATTTAATTCTATTGTATTTTATCAAATGATTACCACTTCATTTGAAATTATCCCAGTCATCAAATTTACCCATTTATTATTTGCCAAGCGATCATTAATTAACGCTTATATTTTATTTACATTTGTATAATTCTTACACTATATGCACGTAATATAACATCGAGCAGTAAATCTTCCTTTTTGCTCTCTTAACATCGAGAAACTTCAACAGTTCGAATTATGTTAAGCTTAACAGATTATTAATTATAAAATCTGTAAGTCCTGCAAGTACGTTTAACAGAGGACTACCAGAATCAAGCCTGCCCCATATTCTGGAATATACCTGGATGTATGTATAGACTTGTGTGCGTATGTATGTGCATACATGTTTCTGTTGTTGGCCTACCTGCTTTAGCGGACTCTTTAGCCTGTTTTGGGTACAGATGCAAAATGCTACCCCCTCCCCACAAGTAGCACAGCGCCACTGCCGACGATGTCTGGTACTTTGCTTTTCTTTACAAACACAAACACAATCACACTCATACAGACATACGCTCACATAAACAGACGTAAATCCAATCGCAGCGTGTCTGTTGTGTTGTTGCTGTTCTTCTATGCCCTGGCCGCGCCAACAAAAACAAGTGAGCGAAATCGAGTGCAAAGTAAATGAGCGGCAAAAGGCAACAGCGCAGCTCGACTCGGCTCAGTTCGGTTTGTTTCGGTTTTGGTTCGGCACTACACGCTGTATTAGTCACACGTATACGTATACCATCAACAACAGGCGCATGAAGAAGAATGAAGAGAGCGTCGAACGTATGTATTTGTGCACGTTTTACTTTAGTGGTATTGGTGAGATGTTGTATATTCGGTTTGGGGCTTGATCATATTGTTGTGCGGTTGTAGTTGTCATCGTTTGTGTGTTAGCGCAAACTAAACAGAGACAGCCAAACAGCCAGCTAGCCAGTCAGCCAGCCAGCTAGCCAGTCAAACAGGCAGCAGCAACAGAGCCCAGACACGGAGCCGTGTTGCTAGAGTCAGTCGGCCCAGCGAGCGAGCTACTGTCGTTCTTTGTATTGATTCAGATTCAGTCGATGAGTTTCTCTCGCTTCTGCGCGTTGCGTGTTTCGCAGTGTTTCCGCGATTTTTTCGTTGTCGTCATCGTTGCCGCGTCTGCGTGTTCGTCTCGCGCCCCGCTCTCTTTGCGCCACACACATTCTCCACAAGCTCGCCGTGCGGGACTCTGTGCGATTGTGTTGCGTTCATGTGTGTGTGTATATAAATATATATATATATATATATATATATATACATATATAAAATTTTTATTGTATGTAGATATGTAATTGTTTTATTTATTTTTTGCCGTGTTTTTTTCTTGTTAATTTTATATACATATACATTTTTTTTGGTGCTGATTTGTGTATTTAGTGTGTTAAAACATACTGAAACCTAAAAAGAATTGATTTTCATTATTGTTTTGCTGCTGCCTCAATGTTTTTATCTGTTACAATGATATATGCATGTGTGTGACTTCTCATTCAGTTAATTTTAGGCGCTGCGCGTGTGTTGCTGGCCATGTTGTATTGTTGTACTGCTTCTTACTCGCAAGCGGTTGAAAAACAAAACCAAATGCAATAGAAACGCGCCCACGCGCCCCATCGACAAACAACAATAACAACAATTAAAAGCAACAAAGTAAAACAATCAAATTTCAAGATTTCATTCAATTGCAATTACTTCGTGTGTGTGTGTGTATGTAACTTAATGCTAATGCGTATACCTACATACATATGATTGTGCATAAATACACACACATGCATGCGTGCAAGCGCCAATACAAGATAAATGACTTTGTCTGTGTGCGTGTGTCGAGTTTAACATCTTTAAGAGTGGAGCCACTCAAAAAATACGCACACACTCTCACATACAGGCATGTATGTGTGATTCTTTTTTTGCACACTAATGCACTGGTGCAAAGAGGAAAACAAAACAGATTTGTATATAAAAGCCACTGTGCGTGGGTCAGACAAAAACAACAGCAACAACATTTGCGCTTTAAGCAAAAGCTTCAATTAAGCGCGACCCGAGCATTGCAGAAAATTACCAAAGCGTCGCGCGTTCGTCCATTCTTTGCGCTCTTTTGCTCTTTTTTTATAGTTCTGCTCTCGCAACGCCTGCTGCACCTTTTTTCTGCTGAAAGGCACACACACACACAAACACATATGTATATACTGTTAAAGTAGACGCGTCACATACACGCAGACACAGAGAGACAGCAGCAGCAGCAGCAGCAACAGAGAGGCGCGCGCGCGCGTATGTTTCAAAGAAAGAAAGAGGAAAACAAAAATCTCAACTCCAATTGCCTTTATACTGGCATTTCATAAATCTTTGCAATTTTTTTTTAGTTCTCAACATAAAATGTGAAGTGCGAACGGCAAGAAAAGTGGTTTGAAACGCGGTAACAAGTTGAACGTGTACAAGCGCTGGGCGTTATCAATGCTGATAAGAGCAAGCAAAAGACGACAGTGAAAACAGTTAGCAGCGGCTAAAATAGCAACAGTTAAACGTTCGTTGTATGTGGCTGTGACATCAGCATCCCATTTACAATTGCACACATTCGCACATACAGACATACATACGTACGTACGTACTTATACACATATACATAAATACATACACATACAATAAAAAGCTGGCTGCATGAAAAACATCACCAGCTCAAGCACTTGCGGCACGGGGCTGCTGCAATTGCAGAACAATCTCAGCAACAGCGAATTGGACGTCGCTGTTGTTGGCAAACCAGAAGCAGGTGCGTTATTTACACCCTCTCTCTATCTTCCTACTCTCTACAACCTCTCTCTCTCTCTCTCTCTCTTACACACTCACTCACACACTGTATACTGTTTACTCGACTCTTGCTCTCTTAATTACAAAGAAATACGCATGCGTTGGCTCTCTATCTATAAAAATGTGATCGTAACCGATAAGAGAGCGGATAAGAGAGTGCAACATCTTAACATTTATTTGCATATCGAAAATACATACATTAATTTACAAATACAAAAATACGACGTAAGCAGACATACATAAATATAACGTAAGAGTTCCCACATTACGAAATGACATGTCTTTCAAAAGATATCGATAAATTGATATCGTTCTCCCATTTTCCTTATCTTATATTGAATTATTTTTCGAATTAGTGAATGGTTAGAGATAATTAAGTAAACGAAATTTTCTAGGTTTTCCCATCGCGCTACATTTATGTTGAAACCGGATATAATTTTAATCTTAAATGATTCATCTTGCGCTATCCCTGTTCACTGTGTGCAGAAGAGTTTATTGCATAATCGATAAATGATTAGCACAGCATGCAGAAAACTTGAATATGGCGAAAGAGTTCCGCAGAAATTAGAATAAGAAAACAGCGTTGAAAGAGGCGAAGTGTTTCTCTTTACTGAAGTTTCAAATTAGGAAATAGGAAAATATTAGTTCACCAATACATGTGCGCGCTTATGTATGTATGCCTACATGTATAATCAGCTGCTCTTATGTTTGGCTTAAGCTTCAAAGTATCCTGCACCACTTAAAGAGAGGAACAACAAGAACTCTTCGCGCGTGTGTATGTGTAAACGCATCAAAACAAACATGTAAAGGGCCTGGGCAATGTAAGTGTGTGTGTGTTCGTCTGTTACAGCTTAGCTAAGTTGCATTGATTTACTCTTTGGTTCGTAGGTTTGCTCTTCTGCGCTGTCGCTCTCCCTTAGCATTTGGACTCTGTTTTTTGTGCACTGCACGCTCGTTCTTTAATCAAGCCAACATTACGCTGGTGACAAACACAACTGATACAGGTAAGAGTCAAGTGTGCTTGACTCGCCGATACCCTGTAGGTAATAATCTGTAGCATTTTAAGAATGAAAAATGAATCATATATACAATTTATGATCTTTAGCTTTAGACCTGATCAGGGTAAAGTTTACAGTATGTTGGTGGATCTGTCTATTACAAGCTATACGACCGAAAGTGTTATTAGTAGTCAGTGTACACAGGGTATCTCAAGCAAATACAACAAATAAAAATAACAAATGCTTTGGATACGACAAACCATACTGGTTTCTACCTACCCACATGCATGCACCTATACATATGGATACATACACATATACCATACCTATGCATGTTCTTGTGCACACAGATACACACAGCTGTGTGTCTATGCGTGTGCGCTGCTGTCTATTGAAGCGAGTCAAAACAACAACAGCCCGTCGCCGCTTTTGTAACTTTTATAAGTAATATACGTGTGTACGTGTTAGGTGGGGTTCACAGAACCCGATCGGCTTCATCTTGCGCAATGTTTTTTTGCCCATCCATAGTTTACCATGTCCTGCTCTCTCTTTCTCCCTCTCGCCCTCTCCCTCTGCTCTTGCGCACTCACAGATCGTGACGTCGCTGCGGGACCAATTGAGTGCTGCTATTGGTGCCATCATTTTCGACTGTTAACATAACATAACAACAGTCTGTTATGCAAAATTAGGCGCGATCGCTGCAGCCAGTCGCAGAGTCAAGTCAGCAATAAATAGCATTAGCAATAGCAAAAATCAGCTTGGGGATTTTTTCTGTATTTTATTTTTATTTTTATTTTTTTTTTTTTTTTTTTTTTTATTTTTGTTAACTTGACTTTAAGTTTGAGTACGAGTTTGACTTGAACGCGTGTGTGTGTGTGTTGTGGATTTCTATCAGGCGAAACAAAAAGTTGTCCTACCAGTTTTTTTCTCTTTTTTTTTGTTGTTTCTTCTTTTTCTTTTTGGGGCCATTCTTTTTGTGTGTGTGTGTGTCGTTCGGTGCTGTTGTTGTTGCTCGTAGTGGTTTCTACTGTTTTCCTCTCCACTCGCTCGCTGTTTCGCTGAGTGTGTTTACCTTGGTACTCGCGACGAATTCGATTTGAACGGTTCCACAGCAATTGCTGTTGCTTTTCCGTTTCTTTTATCCTATGCCTTTTACCCCTCCTCCACTTGCAATACGCTGCGAAAAGCGGCAATTACGCAATCCTGTCGGATTTTCAATCGATTCGATCCGTTCTATGCACATTTGTGCGACTCTTTCTTTCTCTCTCTCGTTCTCTCTCTCTCTCTTCCTGTATCTTTTATCTTTCACTATATACATATATATGTATGTATTTATGTAGCTTTCTTGTTTCTCTCAATAAGTTAACACCGATTGCCACGAGACCTCGCTTGGTCTTATGTAGCCGTCTCTGCCTCTTTCTCTCTCTCTCTCTCGTAGATGTCAGAAACCAGTTTCAACAATTCCACACCCCTTTCTTCTATTCTTCCCACTTCTACCGTTGCAATCAGCAGCGACAAGGCGACAAGAAGTTTTCAATCAAACTGCGCTGCAAAAAAAAGAATAAAAGAGTCTACTCTAACAAAGTTTCAATTGTTGTCGCTTTTCCTCTTAGTTTATTGCTTATTGTTAACTTTATTCGTTTTTTTTGTTTGTTTTTTTTTTTTATTTGCTGCAAGCATTAAATACAGGTAGAAAGGCTATAATAAAGTTATAAAAAAGTATTACGAACTGAAAGAGGCAACTGTGATAAAAGTCAAAGAATTTCAATGAAAAGTAAATTCTTATTTACATATGTATGTAGATGTTTATGTGTGTGAGAGTCTTCTACATATGTCTTGCTATCCCATCCGCTAGGAATTTACCGTAACAAGGTAAACAATGTTAATTGCTTAAATGTTAATTTTACAATTTACCTTTCGGTTTAGCTTATCTTAATTAATAGCCATTTCTTTGTATTCAATTATGTACGTTAGCCATGCAAAAGCTCGTAATGCTATCTAAAAAGTATGCTGTGCCTTTTGAAACTTGGTCAATTAAGTGTTGACTTTGTTTGCGTATGAACAAAAACAGGAATTAAATATGATGGCGATAACTCTATGAGTCGCAGCTTTAGCTTTAACTTAGAAATTGAAGATCTAGATAGTTCTAGAATTAGTAGGTACTAACGTACGACATAATTTCTCGCTTCATTTTAAATACGTACCTGTAAATTGTCTGTTCATAATTTGCTTCTGCTTATCTATGCTTCTTGCTACAGTCCAAATTTCTGCGTAATACGTTTCGCTGTCAATTTTCCTTGTAAATCTGCTGTCTGGCATCTCTCATTTCTTGTCTCTCTCATCCGACCCATTCACAAAATAATACATACCTACATGTGTACATATATATATTTTCCCCCAATGGGCGAATATTTCACTTAAATTTCCACAACTGTACGATATGTGAGTATATCATATATCAACAACTTCGCACAAAAGTAAATATGTATATGTAATGCATATCGTTTTTGAAAGTAGTGTCGCCTGTCAGCTGGATAATGACCGATGACAACGAGTGCTATTAACATGCAATTCAAGCGCCATTTGCAGATCATGTGCGAACACACTCATATACACACACCCACGGGAGCTTTTAAAGCAAGCAGTCTTCCTGCTCACACACATGCACAAGCATGCTTACATGTGTATGCAAGTAGTTTGACTTTCTTTTGTCACTTGCTGTCAGCGTTGCCAACTGTTCTGTTAAGTAAATAGCTAATTAATTGAGTTTACTTAAAGATATTTTATTTTGAATTATTTCAAGGTCAATTTGGACTCATTCTTAAAAGTTTATAATTCAAGCATAAAATATTTTCACACATGCCGCCATTCCCGTTCCCTTTGCTTTTTTTTGCAATCACTTACAAATGTCAGAATTGGCAACGCTGTAGCTCTCTTGCACTCATTTAGCTTTAGCCTCTGCCGCTGTCGCTGCTACTGCTGCTTGTGCTGTTGTGTTCTGTTTTTGAAGTACGTGACTTGCTTCGCACTTCCTGTATCGTTTTGTTGGCCAGAGAAATGTTGCCAATTATTCAAAGTGTGCGGCGGCGGCGGCGCAGCGGCTGCAGCCGATTCTGTTGCTGTCGTCAGACAAATAAAATAAACAAATAATAACTAAGCATTTTGTATGTACATACATAAATATTCGCACACAGCGCAATAGGCATGTGTGTGTGAGCGAATAGTGCGATTGCGAGAGTCGGCAATTTACCGCTTGAAGCTGTTGTCGCCACGCCGCGTTGGTCCAAAGAAAGCAGTGAGACATCGACGCATCCACATGCACTCAACTTCTCAATTGCGAAACTGCTCAAACTGTTAAGCTAAACGGGACGACGAAAACCCACTCGGAAAGTACTTAGTCAGGTCAGACGGCGAACGAAGAGGCTGTCGGCGAGCAATCCGGCGAGCGGGTAAACAACGGGCACCTATCTGACTCATCGATTTAATTTTAAACACTATTTCGAGACCTTAGTCAATGAACGCGACGGCGTGCGCGCGGCACACAAAAAGCCCAACACCCCAAAAGAGCGTGCCGATAATGCTGCTGGGCGAAAGGCAACAAGGCAAAAGGAAAGAGAGAGCGAGGGAAAGGCAAAGGCAAACGCAAAAGACGCGAGTCGTAAACGTTTTCTCCCTCTCTCTCTCTCTCTGTTAAATTTCTTTCTGTGCAAGAGTTATTGCAAAATGCTGTTATGTTGCACTGTAAATTGCATATACGCCTCTCAACTTCTGTATTTAGCACTTTACGCTCGCCGCTAGAAGCAGCTGTTAAAGCTAACATTTGCACGTGCTGTTACTCACAGCTATTGTAACTAATATGGATTCTGTAAGAGGAGAGCCAATGTGTGTCTGCTTTTTAACATTTGCATAAACAGATTCTTATTTTATGACTTAAGAAATATGATTAGAAAATAATTCCTTTCATATATGGGGGTCATAAAATTTCTGATAAAAAATATTACTAAAATAGCAAATTTCAATTGAACCAAAAATATTAATCATACAAGTTGCACAAGAAACCTTGAAACCCAAATGAAATCTGAAAGAGACTTATAATTCGTAGAATCATTTTAGTTTTGCTTTTGTTTTATAATATTTTTTTGAAATTAATGTAAATTTTTTTAAATATCTTATTTTTGATTGAGACAATTGAACAACTGTCTAGAAAAATCCTACAGATTATACACATATATTTTTGATCAGCTTGGTTTTGTGTTGAGTGTAATGAAATTAAACTCAGTTCCGTAGTTTTTGGCTTACAGACGGTGTATAGAGGAAACACAGAGTAGAAATTGGCAATAGATCAAATGGATGAAGACGTGTCCAAGTACTTCGAGAGGAGCAACAATGGCGCTGTGATGCGTGTGCGCAAGGAGTCCGACATGGCGCTGTGGTACAAATCGCAAGCCTACCACGAGGTGATCGCCTATATAAATCGGACCGGCACAGCGATTCAGGGCATACAGCAGTTGGACACCGACGCCTATCCGGTGAGCCCAACAATTCGAAAGCTGTGCCGATTGATCGACGAGCTGATCACTTGGCTGAGGGCCATTAAGTTGAACACGGTGGAAGCGTATCGCGCCTGGTCGCGCCAAATGCTGCGCAACATCTTCAAAATGCTGGAGACGGCTCTGCCAGTCAGCAAGTGCGAGTTCATTGGCGAGCTGGGCCAGTATCTGGCCTGTTCGTTTGGCAATTTCACGCGCGCCGACTACGGCACCGGGCACGAGCTGAGCTTTTTGTTCTTTCTCTGCGGCCTGTTCCAGGCCAAGATACTCTGTGAGGACGATGAGCCAGCGGCGGCATTGATGGTCTTTGCACGCTACCTGAAGTGCGTGCGCAACCTGCAATTGCTGTTCGAACTGAAGCCGTCGGGCAATCAGGGCGCCTACTCGCTGGACAATTATCAGTTTGTCGCCTATATGTGGGGCGCCGCTCAGCTGTGCTACGATCCGCCATTCAGCCCCAAAGAGCTGCTCGATCGGACGACAATTGACGAGTGGCAACATCAATATCTAATCGTTGGCTGTGTCGCCTTTGTGGCCAGCACCAAGCAGGGCAGCTTTGCCATGCACTCGAATCAGCTGTGGAGCATTGCGACGCTGTCGTCGTGGACGCGCTTCTATTCCGGGCTGCACAACATGTATCTGAAGGAGGTCATCAGTCAGTTCCATTTGCTTCGCGAATTGTGGTTTGGTCAGCTGCTGCCCTTCGAGCCTGTGTCGCCAGCAACTCAGCTGCTGCGCGCTGAACTGGGCCATCTCTCGTTGGCCAGGCAACGCTATTTGCTTAGCAAACAAAATATCGATGAGCAGGAGCAGGAGCAGCTGGAGCGGGAGCAGGAGCTGGAGCTGGAGTTGGAGCTGCAGCGGCGCCACCAACACCACCGCCACCAGCAGCAGCAGCAACTGCCGGAGGCGACTGCAGCGGCCACAAAACAGTTGCCACCATCGAATCTTGGCGCTTCGCACAGTGCTTTTAGCTCGGGCATGACCGCCAGTTCCTTGAGCGGCACCAGCGTTCGCTTGCGTTCGCTGAGCAAAAGGTTTACCAAGCTGCAGAAGCAGCATGCCAAGCGAAAGCCTAATTTGCAAGTGTAGCTAATGTGTGTGCATGTGTGTGTGTGTGTGTGTGTGTGACATGAAATCAAATCGAATGAATTGAATTGAAATGAAATAAAATTAAGTTGGCAAACAAACGAGCAACTGCTGCTGTTGCTGCTGCTGCTGCTGCTGCTGATGTATCACCAGCTGCCCATTAAACGTAAACCAGTTCCAGCTGTGCTCGCCCGCTGCCCCTCGCGACAACATGAGCTGCTCGTGGCGCAGGGCAAGCGACTAAAAATCTGTTAACCGGTTTAGAAACAGACTAAAAAAATAATAATAAAAACGAAAAAGAAGCAGATGAAAAAAAAAACTGTTGTTGTTTGGCTGAGAACTGTTATACATAAGCGATACGAGCTGCTGCCGTTGCCGCTGCCACTGCCACTGCCACTGCTGCTGCTGCTGCGACTCTTAACCAAAAACCAATTAAGCCCGCTCGACAGCCGGACAGATCCAGCAGCGATCGCCGCTGCCTGCGGCCAAAGGGAAAGCAATTGGCGAGAACCTACAATTGCTAGAAACATCCTTTCACAAAAGCCAACAACAGCGAAGTGCAATAAAAATAATAATAAATAAAAAAAAAACAACAACTTGCCACACACACACACACACACACACATGAGCGCGGCTTTCTTTCCGGTTTAATCGATCGAACTTTAGCGGCCATAGCCAAAATGTCAAACGACAATAGACCCCAGGCAATCTATGACTAATGCATGATGTACACATATACATATATAACTGTATGTGTGTATGTATATGTGTGTGTTTAGTTATTGTATTTAGCTGCTCAACAACTAAGTAACGTTGACATTCACAACGACAGAAAGCGCAAAAGCTGCACTTGATTAATGAACTGATTACTAAATATATATAGCAATATATATACGTACATGTGTGTGTATACACACATATATATATATATACATATATGTACACGTATATCCAAGTATTCATATTATCAGAAAGTCTTTTTCGCTCTCGCTCCCTCTCTTAGTTTATCTCACACAGCTTAAAGTCAACTTTGGTTTCTTTACCATTGAAATGTAAATGATTTAACAATTCTCTATTATATATAATCATAATAATTGATTAATCATAGCAATTATAATTAATTTTTCACTCGCAGTTTGATTTTCTATTTAGAATGTTTTGAGTTCAATTTCCATTTGAATTCATTTCTAGTTCATTCATAAAGTTCCTTTCACATAAATATTTGTAAATGAATAATTTAGTATTGCTAGATCATTAACAGATTCAACTGGAAAAGAGCTGAAAGGGAACAATATAATTGTCTAGGATATAGTTTGATTCCTAGCAAGCTATCAGGCCCCCCATTGCAGTTTGGGCATTCAGCGTATGATGATGCTGTAACCATGTAAACAGCAGGCGGAAGTAGGCGTGGCAGAGCCCATATGCATCATCAGCAACCACAGCTTAGTCGACTAGATCGACTCAGTTTATTATTAAAAAGAAGGCGACTATCGTAGCACCTCTGAGTGCCACCATAGCTCACGCTCCTTAAGCTACTTTCAAATACTCGATAATTATTCTAGTTTTAATCGATTAATCGCTTATCGAACTTCAATTATCAAGTCGAACTAGCTTCTATTTATTTTATTTTTTTATATATTTTATATAGCGATATGCCGATATAGCCCATTCAAGAACTGCTTACTACCCTCAAAAATATCCATAAGTATTTCATTTAGTCATATTCAACTGGCTCTATCTATAGACTTTCTAGTTGCTCCACGCACAACTGTCCAGTCTTGGCCTTAAATTGAACAACCTGTATGCAGATTTTGCGTTAAGCCAGACCCATTTGGTCAGCACAAAGGGTTAAGCCTTGACAGCATTTCACGTTGAGGACACAGTTTTTTGTGTCTGTGCAGCGAGGCTTTCAAATAAGATGATTGGATTTTTTTCAAGTGCCCAGACAGAGACATAGAGATAGAGAGAGAGACAGAGACACAGATGAACAGTTGATTGATGATAAAAAACTATCACCACCTTCTCGTCTATAGGGTAAGGACAAGCCCTATGCAGGGGTTGCGACTGCACGCAGCACGCTGAATGCAAAGTCTGATATTTAGCTAACTGTGAAATGCTGAATGAAAACGAACGAGCACACACACAGACACACACATAGATATATACATATATATATATATATATATATCTATGCATGTTTACATTTTTATATAGTTGTGTATCCTGTGCTGTGCATGTCCTGTCAAATATGCAGCAATACATATTTTCCTTTTTGCTCTCTTGTTATTTCTTTTCTGATAACTCGCGCATGGAATGCCGATTGTGTCACACTGTGCAGGCTTCGCTTGTAGCAGCAGTGGCAGCGGCACAGTGGTGTGCTGTGGCCTAGGTTAGGGGTTAATTTAGTGTCCTTTTCATATATGCATGCATATGTATATGCATGAATACCCTGTAGATGCTGATAAGCTGCATACTTGACTGATGTCGATAAATATCGATTTTTAAGAGTTTGAACTTTTTTTTTAAAATTTGGATAAAAATATAAAATAAATAAAAAATAAAATAAAAAATAAATAAAATAAAAAAAAAAATAAAATAAAAAATAAAATAAAAAAAAAAATAAAAAAATAAAATAAATAAAAAATAAAATAAAATAAAATAATTGGGACTGAAAGGCTTCAATTAAAGTTGAGCTTAGGGTTATTAAAGCTTAACCGAAACACAAATACAATTTTTTTTAGAACGCTACAATGAAATAAAAGTGAGAACAAATTTCTAAAAAATTTACAAAATATAAAAAAATTAAGCTAAAAATTATTTTTAAAAATTTCTATTCAGAAAATATTTCAATATTTGTTATTTCTTGATTGTTATGAGCACACGAAAGTTATTTACAGGGTATATTGAGCACGCAAATATGACTTCAGCTAGAGACTAGCTGCAAAGATGTGAGAAGTGTGTCGATTGGGCTTATGAACCGAAACTTAATGTGGGCATTTTTGTTGTAGTTTTCTTTTTCGGACACAGCTATTTACAGGGTATAAGCAAATCGCATGGCAATAGCTTGCGCCTTTTTGGTATGCGCTGTGAGCTGCAGTTGAGATTTGAATAGAGATCACCCCATTAAGGGGCTCACGCATCATGAACACACGCACACATTGGTATTTCGAGTGGGGTGACTGATCCTGGCAGGAACACCACCGCCATCACCAGCAGCAGCACCACCACCATCGCCACCACCACCACCACCAACAACAAAGCGTCGCGCACAGCTGTTCCTAGTCGCAAGCGAAGTTAAATAGAGAAATGCAAGCGAAAATAATAAATACCATAAATTCCAATTGCCAGAGCAAGGGTGGTAAGGACAACACACACACACACGCACACACACATTCCCTTATTAATGCACAACCTCAACAATAGCAGCTGTAAGTCGGGACTGAGTCGCCGTGTCTACGAGTCAAGCCTAAGTCTCGTCTAATTGGAAATTACATTGAACCGGAAATGTTGTAGTCCCAAAATTGAATATGATAAAATGCACAAAACAGCCTATGCCTCTCTCTCTCTCTCTCTCTGTCTCGCCCTCTCTCTCTCTCTCTCTGAGATTATGAAAAATGGCATAGTCACCCCTATGAGGCCTATAACACGTCAAGCAACCCTGTTAGCCGGCAGCCAGGCACTGCAGCCGTGCATTATTATTAAATAGTTGCGCCGTTTTTATCGGGCTGTCGTAACCCCTACGAATGCCCGATCTAGTTGCAATATGTGTGCGTGTGTGCGTGTGTGTACAGTTGCTTTGAAGCTTTGACCAGCTTTGCAGTGGCACGGGGCGTGCGGGGGGTTCAGTCTAAAAAACATGATTTGAAATGAAATTTCTTTGCTGGCGGTTCTTGGAATTTCCCTGATTCTCATATACCATGACGCACGACGCGTCGCAGTCGCAGTCGACGCTGGCATTTTTGGTTGCCTTCCCCTAATTGTGTGTGCGTGTGTGCGGCACTGGCTATGCCTTGAACTGGGACTGCATCCTGTCGCGCTGCCAACCATCCCCTGTGCTAGCAGCAGCAGCAGCAGCAGGAGCAGAGGCCAAAGGAGCGCACAAAACAAAAACCAAAAAAAATTAGTGAAAAATAAAAGGCATTTCAGTTTCCATAGCGCGTTTCAATCAAACAGACGCGTTTTCTTAGATTTCCAACGCTCGCGCCGCAGTTTAAATACCGCCCCCGTCCGCTGCCCCCTCTGCAGAAAATGCGACACATATTCGTCTCATGAAGTGGCCCCAAAACAATACATTTAAATTGTTAATGCCAAAAGTTTGCTCAAATTGATTTTTGTTTTTGTTTTGCTGTGCTGTGACTTTGTATCAAGATTTATTTGAAAAGCGACTCGGATAACGGCTCCACGTTGGCGCCGTTCTCCAAGCATTTGGATTCCCTCGAGGAATTCAAGACATTGTCCGGTGAGTGCGACACCTCGGACTGCCTGCCTACCTGAGCGCCACACACGCACAGGTAGAGACCAGCCTAATCATCTTTCTTGTTTTCCTTTGCGTAACTTCGCTTGGCTAATATTATCGCTATGCGTGCTTCAGTAAGTGCGCGCAGGTCAATTCGTATCATTTATATAGTATATATATGTTATATAGTATATATATATGTGTGTGCCTAAGATTTGTGATCTTTGGATCCTTAACAAGCTATTTGACTAGGCATTTTCTTGTTTATGTATTATATTTATAGGAAAGGTCCATTTACTGTCCATACTATATTGAAATTGTATTGTATTGGATATATATATATATATATATATATATATATATAGAGTACTATAGACTGCATACTACAAACTTATGTAGACTAGACTCTACTACAGATTACTATAAACTATAGACTACTGAGGCTGCTAGGAACCACTCTATGTTGCTATGGTATATAGCAGTCTGTAGATCAAACATTCTACTTCAGACTAGACTACCATAAACAACTTTATAGAGTACCAAATGGTATATATATAGTATTGTATATATATATATATAGCTATACTTTATACAACTTTGAGTTACTATGGCCTACTCTTCAGACTATATAGCAGTCTATAGCATATGCATTATTCTAGTCTATACTATATACAACTATAGATTCTATATACTCTATACTGTATAGCTTTATATATCTTTTGAGATTGCTTAAAACTTAGTTAAATTAAGCATAAATGTGAGCAAGATATTCAACAATATCAAAATTCGAATATTATATTTAATCTATATCTATAAATAACCGCTGTAGTACAGTGTGCACTGCTTATAACTGACAAATGTATGTTAATAGCTGCTAATTCTTGATCTCTGTCATTAAGCTTGGCTATTGAGCTGTTAAAAGCCTGGAACCAGTCAAGATGATACCACACACACACACACACGCACACACGACAGGCCACTCGTGTGTGTGCGTGTCTGGCACTCGCTTAGCCAAATGATTATGCACTTGTGCTCAGCCATGGCAAATGATTATTATCAATTTGGAGTAGACGCGTTGATTGTCTCGTTGTTTAACTATGCGCCGACACGCCCACCGGCCCGGCCGCCCCCGCACATATGTGGCACCATTGTTAAATATATCAAATGAAAAACGTACTTAAGTGCGTGCTGAAGCGCTTTTCATCTCGCACACACAGCACGCAAATTCATAATGCATATCAACACCCCGGCCAGGGCCATGGCTATGGCTATGGCTATGGCTACGGCTGGTTGTTGTACAGGTTAGGCCAGAACGTGTTCGGTTCTGGGATGGGGATGGCGATGGCTTCAGGGGTGCGAGGCTGGCGGCAGCCTGGGGGCGTATTTCATGGACTTTGACACAGATTTATGTAGCCGAGACCGCACTAAAAACTTGTGACAGTTCCCGGACGCCACTCACAATCCGCCAAAATCGGTTTCTAAATTGTTTTTCTTTTCTTTTTGTTGCAGTTGGACCCGGCACCATACCATCTCCGTGGCCAGTGAATGCCGGTCCTCCTGGTCCCCTGGGATCGGCAGACACAAATGGCAGCATGGTGGACAGTAAAAACTTGGATGTTGGCGATATGAGCGATGTAAGTCAAAACAATTAACAGCAAAAAAAAACATTTAAATAAATCCTAGTTGATATTATATAGAACTAGATGTTTGAAAAAAGTAAAAGATACCAAATAGTTTCCAAATACCTATGCCTTACATAGCTGTGTAACTACAGTGAAGACTGTCTATATAAAACAACATTTTTGCTGTCTTTATGAATGAAATTAAATGAATTTATGATGAAACTTAACAAGCATAATATATATATATATATACATATATATATATATTAGATTATTTGCTATATATATCTAGAGATCTATAGAGCTAAACATGTATAGCTTTAGTTTGTAAGATTAGCTTTTTATAACTATATATATCAGTTTATCAGATTGTCTTTTATATATTTCTGTAATTTCATTAAATTCCATCTGTCTCTATATATCTAGAAAACTAGGCAAACATAGTTATAGTTTATCAGACGATCTTCTATATATTTTCTTTAAGCCATATAAATCAGCTTTTCAGTTTATGTTCTATATATCTCTGTATATCTATAGAACTATGCCGTTTGCCAGATTAAGCTCTATATATCTCTATAAAAACTTGCAGTTTATCAGACTGTTTTCTATATATCATCAGCTACTATTGATCTATAGAGAGTTACTTAAAAACTAAAAATTCTTTTAATTCATTAAAATTTCTTCTACATATAGAAAATCAGTTAAAAACTGTAGAGTTTTGCTGTTTATTAAAATATCTTCTGTATATTTTAAATCTACAAAATCATTAGCAGCGTTATAACAATAGTAAAACTCAAAGATCAAATCTCAGTAAATTTTCTATTTAAAATATATATCTCTAACCATTTGAAAGACATCTATTGTATCTGAAGACCCACTCGGCTTTCACTATATATATTAACCACTTTTTCTATAGGCATTTTGGGAATATTCCTAGTCTTTCTGTAATGTAATTTCCCTTTTGTATGCCTCAACGTAATGCCAATTCAAAGGGTAAATTACCGTTACTGGACTTAATATAATTGCCCAAATTGCATTTATTCTCGGCCGTAGTTGACGCCAGTTGGCACAAATCGATCGAATTAGTGTTGCCAATCGATAAATAATCGATGAGCATAAGAAATTAATCAAATTGACCTGATAATTATAGCAAAGGCCCAGGCACCATGGTCACTTAGATATATTTATAGCCGCTGCTGTGTGAGAACTAAACCAACTGATGGCTGTGTTTGCCTTGCTTTTCATTGCAGGACGAAAAAGATTTATCATCCGCTGATGCCGAAGGTGTCTGGAGTCCGGACATCGAGCAAAGCTTTCAAGAGGCACTGTCAATATATCCACCATGTGGACGCAGAAAGATTATATTATCCGACGAGGGTAAAATGTATGGTAAGTGATGCACTTTTTCAAATTTCTACTGTATGGCAAACTAGCCATTGAGCTAAAGGTGTTGAGGCAGGGAGAGAGGGAGAGTGAGAGAGAGAGAGAGAGAGAGAGAGAGAGAGAGAGAGACTTGAGCGCTTTACTCTGCTTGACTATGAATTTAATAACAAACTGCTCGCAAAGTTTTTACTCTACTACTTTTATATACCCCTACCTCCCTCTCTCCCTCTCCCTCTCTCTCTCTCTCTCTGCCTCGCTCTCCCTTTCTGTCTTCTTTTATGTATGTGTGCGCATTGGTTGGGTGGCTAAAAACAGAAAACAAACAGGAATTTTGTGGTTGCCGCAGTTTGGTTCCATTGTTTGTGTTCTAATACCCTGTAAAAAAAAGCCAACAGCAATCATATTGCTATATAGATAGCTTCCAGATTTGTCAACCTTTATATATATATATATATATATATATATATATATATATATATATAGATAAATATATATATAGATATATATATAAAATATTTATATCCAAATAAAAGCAAAAAAAAATAAATTGTAAATTAAATTTTTGTTTTGCTTTAAATTTTTTTTTATTGTTTTGCATTTCTATAAAAATATGTCTTAAAGTTAATTTCGCGAATCGATACTTTTAAAATCGATAAAACATGAGCTTTGACTTGGTTTTTTCATAGATCTTTGAGACATTTTAACATTAATTTTTTTGAGTTCTTTTTATTTATGGCTAATAGGCGAAATCTTTCTATATAAAGCAATAAATTTTAATATATGCTATAGGGTATCTGTTAGTCATGCTCAATTGAAACGCTCAGCGCATTCTTACTTGTTTTTGGTTTTTTTTTTGCGTATGTTTGCGGCGGGCCGTGTAAAGAAAACATAAATTCCGTACTTTGAACCTTGAGCTGAAAGTTGTGTCAAAGCGCTTTGTGCCCAGGTTGCTAGCTGTGGGTGGCTGGGTGGTTGGGCGGTTGGGCGGTTTGGGTGGCAGGGCTTGGATATGGCAACAGGCGATGGCAGCAGCGTTCATACTTTGACACCGTGCCGCAAAACGCTTTGCCGTCGAGCTAAATGTGCTGACAACTAAAATTGTAAACGTGAACTGTGTGCTGTGTGTGTGTGTGTGTGTGTGTGTGTACAGGTGGAGTGAGCAGCGGGTGTTGTTGTAGCATTTACAATAAAAGCTAAAAGGACATACGACGCCTGCGGCGTGTTGTCTTCGTCTGTTGCTGCCGCACCCAAATGGCGGCTCAATGGAATTACGACAGCAAATTGTGAGAATGCTGCGCCCTTGCCTCACTTGCCTCGCATGCCGCTCTTCTCTGTGATTCTCAAACAGAGTGAAAGAGAGATAGGCACGGCCTGGTAATGTTTCGTTGCTGCTGCTAGTCGCATCCTCTGCCTGTGTGTGTGTGTGTGTGTGTGTGTGTGTGTGTGTGTGTGTGTGTGTGTGTGTGTGTGTGTGTGTGTGTGTGTGTGTGTGTTTTATTTGAGACGTCTACACGCATAAACAACAAGTTTTGTAATTTATGTCCCAGTGGATATTGTTTTCATTTTATGCTCGGTCTCGCCCGTTCGTCCTTTGACTGCATGCTTGTTGCATGAAAGCACACACACACGCACACACACACATGCTGTGTGCTTTTCGGCTAGAGCTCAAGCCATGGCCATGTCTGTTGCTTGAATTGTTTTTGTATTTGAGCCAAGTAATTAATTTTCACTTTTCACTTTAGCTTACCTTGCCCTCAGCTCAGCTCAGCACGAGCTGCTGACACCTTCATTGCACAGCACTACAGCGACTACAGTTTGCATGCCTCATGCCGCATGCCACATTTACCTTGCTCCAAAACAGCATATCCAACTCCAAGTGATTTGTTGACCTGCTTCAGCATTGCTATACCCATATAGCATATATATATATATATATAGCTATGAATGAGAATGTTCCTAAGTTGATTTGGCCAGACTTGAAAAATCAATAGATAGCTCCAGTCTTAGCTATGACTATATACACATAGAAATTGAGGCATAGATAATAATCAATAGAATTTAATATAATATATAATATTTGGCACTCTAAACAGGGGACTTGGGCTTTTAGATGTGAGCTTATATATAGATCATATGTGCATCATTATATATATTATATATATATATATATTCATGTATAGACTTTACTCACTTTGCCGCCCCTCTATGCGCTTCTCAACAAAGCAAGTTAGGCAGCAGCTTGGACTGCTTGAGCTATAGCAATTTGAAAGTGATCTATATATAAATTTATAAAGTTTGTTATTAATCTATAAATCTGGCGAGTATTTATATAGATCACTCGCTTTTAATGCCAAGCAGTTGGGCAATTAGCTGCTATTTGTACGTTGCGGCAATCGATTCGTTTAGGCTCTCGCCCGCTCTTCCGCTCTCTCGCTCTCTCTCTCTGTTAACCAGATTGCTAAATATTCGGGAAAACATTGTGACAAGAGGCGGCTAAAGTTTTATTTATGGCCAACACGTGGCTTTTGCAGCCACTCTGCAAATTCCTTGATGCTCGCCAGCTGCACGAAATGCTGCCGATGCAAAGGCCGGCTGAGCGCATAAACGGGAAAAACGCGTTGCTGCTGCTGCTGCTGCTGCTGCTGCCGCTGCTGTTGTTGTTGCTGTTGGGAAATTGGAAAAATGTTTTTGGCCTGCAGGCTAAACACGAGACAACAAAGCTTCAACGTGTTGGTGCTGCCGCTGGCGTTGGCGGTGCAGCGGATTAGCAGAGGTTGTTGGGGGCGGGCAAGTGGTCGACTCTGCTGCTGTCGCCGTTACGTTATGTGTGAAAATATAACCATTGTTTGGTTGTTAATTTTCAAAATATTTACATAGTCACTGAGCACACACACACACACACAGACAAACACCCACCCATTTGGGGCTGATTATGACACATGACAATCGGATGGACAGCTGCATGCAGCAGGCAAAGCTTCGTTCTAGCAACTGGCTGCCTCTGTGTCTGCTGTGAAATTTGTGGCCTAAAACTTTGTGCTCGTCGCTGCCACAAATATGCGGCGGCGCCGCCGCCTAGTGGCGACTTAGTCGGCTTATCACACACACACACACACACACACACATGCATGCATGCATGCAGGCATGTCTCTCTCTCGCTCTCTCTCTCTGTGCATTTTCGCACTGTGAACAGCTCCTCTTTATTAGCTTTGGCCACTGATTTTAAGTGGTAGCCAAATTGCCTGCGCAGCGTTCAATATTTTCCCAACACACACACACACACACACACACACACGCACACACGCATGCATGTGCATATTGATGTATGCATAAAGCTCTTCGCTTGTTTTTTTTTAGTTCATGTCATGGCACCCTTAATCAACATGCAAGCATCAAGCATGCACATAAAAGTCCTTAAAATTCAGTGTTGCACAACGCCGCAGAGGCGTGTCTAACACTATCTAGAGCCAGCTGCTGCCAAGTAATGTCGAATATATTGATACTCTTCAAAGTGACTTCAATAGTGACGTGAGTAAAACTCTGAGAAACTTTATCAACTTCTAAATCGCAGCTATAAAAAAGGAATTTGGCCAACATTTAATTTCATATGAAAACAATCGGTTTTTGTTGTTTGAAAACTTATTTAGTTTTATTATTAATATCTATTGTGTGCACTTAAGTAGGTAATACCCATTAGATCTTAAAGACTTTTGTTTAATAATCTTGTTCAGCTGCTACTTCAAGGCCGTTGCTAACCTCAAAATCATATAGTAGTATTATTATTAGATATATATATATATATTTTTTTTTTTTTATGATCTGATAGCATATGTATATATATATATCATATGGAAAGCAGCGCCATTTCAATTGACTGATTAACCTTTCTCACATTTAACTATGAGCACAGTTTTTAATAGGTATACATATGTGTGCATGTGTGTGTATGTGTGTGTGTGTGTGCATGTGTGTATATGTGCGTGCTACTGCTCTATGTGCCTGGCAAACATAGACATCTGCGAAATGGGCGTGTTGTAGCGTGACTAAAAAATTGTATAAGAGCAGCGGCGACTTGGCAGCAAGTACAAAATTATAGAAAATATAGAAAATTATAGAAAATAACACATAATCAAGTGAACATGATCAAACTGCACATTATCGATAACTACGGCAGCTGCTCAGATAAAGTTATCGGTGCTAGTATCACGCTCACTGGCAGCCAGCTGAAGTCGTTTCTTTGAGTATTTTGTCACATTGCACAAATATTTGAGTTATTAAATCAGTAATTAAGTAAATGGAAATTTGCATTTGATTTAATAAAGTGAATTCTATTGTGAATATCCATCAAATAAATGCTTAAGTGTCCCAGTTGACACTTCGAGTGCAGGCTGCAGCACCTGTGCCATCGTCAGCAGCATCATCATCATCAGCAGCAGCAGCAGCAGCTCAATGGCTATCAATTAAATAACTGTGAACTGCAATAAAGCCTGGGGGTCAGCATGAATTAACATTTGTCGTTGCTCGATAGCAACAATTCAATTGACACATGTCAATGATTTCAACTGTTGTCGTGCTGCTGGGAGGCACTCGCTGTGCACTCGTTTTGATTGATTCGAAATGTATTCAAGATAACCCAGAAGCGATGTTAATGAATTTAAAACTTTGAACTCCGAGCGATTTCAGTTTAAAGAGAAACGTTCGTGTCATTAGGAAACACTTAACGTGATTCGTTTCCATTAGTCATGCAGGCTAAACACAATGCTGCACTCAGTACTCTATAATTAAAGTAATGTTCTAAGAGAGAGAGAGAGTGAGAGAGAGAGAGACACAACTTTGTATATTTGTGTCACACATAAAGTTTCGCCATAAATTCCATTTGAATTCCGCTCTTCCCTTATTTTTTTTGGGCCATGGCCCATCGATTTGCAAAGATTTAAAGCGTAAAGAAATTGAAATGCTTCGCTCTTCCTATTCATATTAAGTATATGCATATTGTGCGCGCTAGTATGTGTGTGTGTGCGTGTGTGTGTGTGTTTGAGAGGGTGTGAGAGTGTGAGGTTGTGAGGTTGTGAGGGCAAAGCCGTTGAGGACTTGGTACGTTACTTGGCATCTATTCACTGATAGGGCTGCATAACAATGGCTGGAGCTTGTCATGTGAACCAGTCATGTGAGCTGCGTGTGAACTGTTCATGTATGTCATAATCGTATAGACATTTATGAACTAGTTCACCTGGTAGTTCACATGCTAATTGTATAACTTGCTTAAAACATAATTTTGTTACAGAATATTCAATTTGGAACCAGTCATGTGAACCAGTTCACTTTGTGAACTACTGTATTTATGCAAATATTATAGAGATTTATATATTATATATATATAATATATTTATATATAACTGAACATCTGCATGAACCAGTTCGTTCATTTGAAACTTGTCAATATGAACCAGTCGTATGAACTTTTATATCGAGCGTTGCTAAAATGTTGTTTTCAATATCGATATAGATATAGATATATATCGGTATATGAACTAGTTCTTTGTTCCTTATATGAGACTGGTTCCGCTTCGTGCAGCTTCATTGAGTTGCACCCTAGCTGACGTTCACAGGGCATTCAAAAGGTGGTGGGTTGCTTGGGTGGCTGTGTGTCTTTGTGTCTGTCTCTGTGTGTATGCGTGTGTGTGTGTGTGCCCGTGTGTGTGTGTGTGTCTGTTCCTTGTGCTAGTAATTCTTAAACGTACCCACAGCGCTGCGAATGAACAAACGAACGAACGAACGACCCACCGACCGACCGACCGAACGAACGCGCCTCACCACCAACAACAGCAGCCCGGAGTTTGTGCGCCGGATCCGGCAATATGCGTGTGCTTGGCTGGCTGGCTGTGACGGGGTTTGAGTCGCTGAAAATAATTTTATTCGGTTAGAACTGAAACTATGCCAAGAATGTAATTAGTGAACGCATAAGCGTGTGTACAATAAAAGCTGGATCGCTGACGGGTCTGGGCGGGGGCATGGCTCTGACGGTCTTACGGCTGCCAAAGCACAAGCTAAAGGATGACCCGCCCACACCGCCAACCCCATCTACCTAGCCAGCCAGCCAGCCAGCCGGCAGTGGGGCAATGGCAAGGCAACGACGACACTGACGTCAGTCGGGGCCGCATTCTGTCGGCACGTGAAAATGTCGTTGGGCTTTCAATGAAATTTGTGAGGCAAGCGGCACAACTGAAGCAGCATTTGATTCATTCATCCCAAAGCGTCTTTTTTATTTTTTTTTCCTTGCTCAGTCCCCAGCATCCGCAGATGCTGCTGATGATGTTGATTCTAAAAATATTCCCCATGCTCATTAAAGCGCTTTAATCAGGCCACTCCGACTGCGACGCTAACTTCTAACTCCTAACTCCTAACTAGAGCTCTCTCGAATTATTATTGGTTGTTGCTGTGTTGTTTGATCCACGAACAAACATATTTAAATGGAATTTCAAAAATCTTTCCATTCAAGCAAAAGCAAAAGGTTTTCGCAAATGTTTAACATATTTATTTTGATATTCATATTAGAATTCTATAATTGGGCGCATTGAAAATGTTATTTGAAATATTTGCAAATGCATGTAAGTGTATGTGTGTGTGTGTGTGTGTGTGTGTGTGTGTGTGTGTGTGTGTTTGTTTCATTTAATAATATTTGAAGTGCATTAAATTGCAAAGTTTGCCAAATAACTGAGCTCTATGTGGTCTGCAGAGAAGCGTAACTTGGTCTAGATCTATGGCCGAATAGGCGCCAAGAATGTACAGCTAGCTGGGGCTATATCTACATTATTATAGTGCCATACGCGATCGGCATCAGTTGCTGTTATCGTTTAAAATCAATTCTCTATTTTGTGTAAATATATGTGATTGCATGATTGGTTGGCTTTGCCCCTCCCCCTTCGCCACCAATCCATTGTTGATTTATGAATTGTAAATTCCCGATGGTATTTTTTATTTGTTTTTCTCGTTTCTCGTTTTTACAGGGCGCAACGAGCTAATCGCGCGTTACATTAAACTGCGCACGGGCAAGACGAGAACCCGTAAACAAGTCAGCTCCCATATCCAAGTGCTCGCCAGACGGAAACTCCGTGAAATTCAAGCCAAAATCAAAGTCGTAAGTGTGCCAAATACATATAGACATATATATATATATTTATACATATATATATATCTAAAACTCACCTATATCTATATACAACTATGAAGATCAGCAAGAACAAACAGAATATAGCGAGAGCAATTTGCCATGCGTCAATTGTCGTCCACATGCTTTGCCTATATTGTTTATCGAAGTGCTAAAGTAAAGCTAAGTTCACGCAGGCCTTCCATGTCTTCAGTGCGTGTGTGAGCTTAGCTCTGCTGTTCTATTTGTTTATGTGGCAAGTTTGTCGAACAAATTCTAGCCGAAGAGCATGAAAAGCAAGGAAGAGTTTCTCAGTTGCAAGTAGAGCCCAGTTCAACAGAATCAGTCAATTATCTCTCTCTCTCTATATACATATATATCTTTATATATAGTATACAAATGGTTCAGTTCATTATCAGACACACACACACACACAAGACACACACACACACACACACACACACACAGAGGTGGCTTGTGTGCTGCGTGTATTGGCGTCTGCAAGAGAGTTTTGTGGCTTTCATGTTATCCATATGTGAGTTTCCCCTCAGCCAAGTGACGTCTGTCTGCAGCTCTGTTATAGCATAGATAATGCTTGCGTGTGTCGTCACATCTCTACACACACACACACACACACACACACACACACACACACACACACACACACACACACACACATACGAGACCCAGAAAGAAAGAAAAAACAATATGACAATCTGTTTTCCAGGAACCAAATGGTGTATCCTTGCATTTACTCAATGAGAAAGAGCAAACCCTGCAGGCCATGAGCTCAATGACCAGTTCACAAATTGTCTCCGCTCAGGCGGCCAATAATCTTGCCCTGGCCGCCTCGGCGCTGACGGCGGGCGTGCACCAGCATTCGAAGCATCTTCCGCAACCCGCCCACCATCAGCATCCGCACCATCACCTACACCACCACCACCACCACCATCATCCGCATCACCACCATCAGGTGGGCGTGGCAGCGGCCGCAGCTGCTGCCGCTGCAGCTGCTGCAGCTGCTGCTGCCGCTGTTGCACAGTCACCGGCGGCTGCAGCTGCAGCTGCTGCTGCCGCTGCTGCTGGTGGTGTTGGTGTTGGTGGTGGTGCTGGCGCTGGTGCTGCTGCTGCTGCTGGTGTTGGCGTTGGTGCAACCACATCCAACTCTGTTGCAGTGCCGCCGTCATCGTCGTCGTCGTCATCGCCGCGGCTACACCACCACCACCACCACCCAGCCCACCATTCCCATCACAATATGCCGCACCACACGCATAGTCATATGCATCCACATCATCAGCAACATGCGGCGGCTGTTGCAGCAGTTTACCACCTACAGCAGCAGCAGCAGCAACAGCACCAGCACCTGCAACAACAACACCATCAGCAGCAGCAGCAGCAGCAGCAGCAGCAACAACAACAACAGCAGCAGCAGCAGTCAAGTGGTGCAACAACAGGTGCAGTGTCACCATCTGTGGCTGAGCCACCGCTGCCGCCGCCGCCGCCGCCATTGCACCATCCGCCGTTGTATCCGGGCGTAAGCAACCAGATTCAAGTTATCCAAGCTAAGCATACGAACCACTCAGAACCGCCGAACTGCCACTTCACATCGGTGTACAAATTCCCAAAGCAACAACAACAACAACAGCAACAAACAAACAAACAAACAAACAGCAACAACAACAACATCCACTAACAGCCACAGCACAGCTCTCTCAGCTCTCGCCTGGACTCGTCCTTCCGTCACACTACATTTGCATCGATAACCAAACCCACTCTCCATTGGCCACCCACACGCACACGCACACGCACACGCATAGCCACACAGCTACACACGACTCACACTCATTAGTTATAACAACAATTCATTAGCTGATCGAACTGCAATACTTAAGTTTAGCTCTAATTGCGCTCGCTGGCTCGATCATTGGATCATGCGTTTTGTGTATTCGTATCTTCTTCTAAATGTTTGTCTACACATACTGCCTCTCTCTCTCTCTCTCTCTCTCCCTCTTGCGCTAGCTCTAGCTCTCTCTCTCTCTCTTTCTCTGTCTCTATCTTTCTATTGCTCATATCATTTCGGTTTTATAACCAGCCGATCCTCTCTCTCTCTCTCCCTGTCTTCCCTCTCTCTTTCACACACCCATGCCTCTCTCTCCATTATCTTCACTGGTCAGCTCTCTGTGGTGCCTTATGCTCTTGTGCTTAACATCATTCAATGTTGTCTATAACGTGCATACCATTGCCATTTTGTCTACTCGTTATTCACCACACACGCAGACAAGTTACTCACCACTCGTTGCTCGCTACTCTACTTGTTACTCGTTCTTTTTGTTATTGACCACATGTTACTCGCTACTCGCCCCTTTGTCACTCTCTCTCTCCCTCTCTCTCTCTCTCTCTCTCACTCGTCACACGTCACTCGTCACTCGTCACTCGTCTACTCGCCACTCGCTCCTCTTGAGGCCCAAGATCCACCTGCTCAACGCTCGCTTGCTCATTGAAATCGACTCCTTGCTTTTGTTATTACATGCCAACAACAATTAATCGATATATATATAACTAGATATATACATATATATATATATATATATATATATAAATGTAAATATTAATATTTAACAAAATCAGTTCCGTTAGTTTGTTCATAATACAAGTAATTTAGTATTTATCTGTACTCGTCTATTTGTATTTGTGTGTACTCATCGTCAATCAATCAGTCAATCAATAATCGCTCAATCATCTATGCGTAATGTCATCAGCTCTGTAACCATATCAATCAATCGATATCAATTAAATCGTGCTTAGCTTAGTGTTGTAAAACGTTTATTTTTTGCACCGAATTTTATTAACTTTTTTCATCTTTTCTCTCTCTCCCTCCCGCTCGCCCACTCGCCTTGCTTCATGGCTGGTTTAGCAATTTTGGCAACCCGGTCTGCAGCCGAGCACATCGCAAGAGTAAGTTGGCATCGCGTGCAAAGCCAAAAAAAAAACATAACGCATTTGCATTGACCAATAGTTTTTATGATTACAGCATCAAGCCGTTCGCCCAGCCGCCCTACACGCCCGGCAAGCCATCGACGGCGGTATCGGGCGAGATCGAGGCTGGTATTCCGCCCGCACAGTTGCCATGGGAGGGACGCGCGATTGCCACACAGAAATTCCGCTTGCTCGAGTTCACGGCCTTCATGGAAATCCAAAGAGATGAGATCGTAAGTGTCCGCCGATAACTGATCGATATCAGCTCAATATAACGAAATATCGTTTGCTCCCTTTCACAGTATCACCGACATCTATTCGTACAACTGGGCGGCAAGCCATCCTTCTCCGATCCGCTGCTTGAGGTGAGCTCAGACTAGCTATCCTTAGATATATTTAACGCTTTCTAATCCTACATCTATTTTAGACTGTTGACATCCGACAAATATTTGACAAATTTCCGGAGAAATCCGGCGGTCTCAAAGAGCTTTTCGATCAGGGTCCACAGAATGCGTTCTACCTGGTCAAATGTTGGGCGGATCTCAACACGGACGCAACGACGGGCAGCGAAACGGGTGATTTCTATGGCGTAACCAGCCAGTAAGTTCACCTCCCTCCGCACCCTCGACACACGGATCTAACCAAATTCCCATCATTTACAGATATGAAAGCAATGAGAACATTGAGCTTGTCTGTTCGACAATTGTCTGCTCGTTTGGCAAACAGGTTGTGGAGAAGGTGGAGCATGAGTATTCGCGCCTGGAGCACAATCGCTACGTTTATCGGATTCAGCGCTCGCCGATGTGCGAGTACATGATCAATTTCATACAGAAGCTGAAGAACTTACCTGAACGCTACATGATGAACAGTGTGCTCGAGAACTTTACAATATTGCAAGTGAGTTTGTGACGAGATATTTGCCTCTGCCATCTATTTAACACACTCTATCTCCGTCTGTAGGTAATGCGAGCGCAGGAAACGAAAGAGACACTGCTATGCATAGCGTATGTGTTTGAGGTGGCGGCGCAGAATAGCGGCACCACGCACCACATCTATCGCCTTATAAAGGAATAGCATGAGCTGCATGAAGCAGCGCCCAATCTGTCCGCGTTACCCACCAATGCACAAATCAGCGAATACAGCAACAGCAACAACAGCAGCAGCAACAATAACAACAGCAACAACAATAGAAGCCACAACAGCACAAGTAACAACAACAGCAACAATGGCAACACAACCAACAGCAACAGCAACAGCAATAATAATAATAATGCCAACAAGAGCAATAACAACAGCAATAATAACAACAGCAACAACAACAACAACCTTAATATCAACAACAACAACAACTCGAGCAGCAACAGCAATATTCCAGCCGCTGGCACAGAGGAAGCTCTACAAGGCGGACAGGAAACAGTTTCGACCGTCATCAAACAATCGCCAACATCGCCGCAGCATCAGCAGCGGCAGCAGCAACTGGGTGGCATTACAGCGCTGCAGGTGGATGAGGTGCTGTACGCACAGGTGCTGCCAGAGAATAGCTATCAGGTGCAACAACAGCAGCAGCAGCAGCAGCAGCAACAACAACAACAGCAACAACAACAGCAACAACATCAGCAATTGCAGCAGCAGTTGCGTCAAAACACGCACATGTTGCTGCAGCAGCACACAACGCAACAGCAGCAGCAACAGCAGCAACAACTCGTGAATTACCAGGACCGTCCACCGCCGCCGCCCTACAGCGCCTGCATTGCCAGCAATGCCAGCAAGCAGCAGCAGTTTGATGTGGAGCAGCAACAGCAGCAGCAACAGCAACAGCAACAGCAACAGCAACATCTAACCACATACGAACAGTTCCTTAAACTGTCCGCTCAGGAGTATACACAGCTGAATGCAGCAGCTGAGAATGCGGCGCTCAATCTGAGCAGCATGGGCGTCAGCAAAGCTGGCGAGGATGAGACGCATGTTGAGGCGTCGCATGAGCTGCGCCTGCTGCGTCAGGTGAATGTGGCCAATGCCAGTGACAATGTTGCCGATGCCGATTGTGAGCAGTAGTCGAGGGCGTGGCGTGCTGTTAGTTTAGCCAGTTAGTTATTTATCTCTTTAGTACATACAGTTATGGTGTTTTATTATGCGCACACACACACACACACAGTCTCGTACTGCATGCAATTTTTGTTATATTTCAATGAGCGATCAGCAAATCAATGAGCCATTGCGAATTCTGTCTGCTTGTGTGTGCGTGTGTGTGTGTGTGTGGGTGGGCGGTCGGGTTTTGCGTGTTGTGTCCGTCTGTTGTCTACTGTCAGCGAAGTAATTTTTTTATATACATCTTTACATACATAAAAAAAAATACATTTAAATGATCTCAAAGTTACTTAAAACATATTTTTTGTGTGTAATTTGTATGTTTATCTTCTTCTTATTTTTGTTTTTTTTTTTTTTTTTAATTTGTTTATCTTATGCAAATCGAAACATAAGAGAGAAAGAGAAAAAAACAAAGCGAAGCAGTTGTTGTGCGCTGATTTCTTTTCAAAAACAGTAAAACAAAAGGAAAATTCGGTATATTTCTCCTTTTGTTTTTTTTTTTGTGTAATACAACAACAACAAAATTACACCGCAAACATTAGGCAAATGCATGTTTGTTTATCTTGTATTCTACATTTTATTCTCTAGACATAGATAAATATATATATTAATATATATATGTATATATATATATATATATATATATATATATATATATATATACTTTTTTTTTGTGTGTGTTTATAGCTATTAGAGTTATGGAGAGCATAATGTATAGTAATCTAACCTTAGGTATTTTTAATTACATGTAAATCGCATCAACTTTGAATGTGCTAAAGGCAGTTGTAGTTAGGCTGTTAGGATTAGTTGAGCTGAGCGAGAGTGACAGAGAGAGAGAGAGAGAGTGCAGTGTGGGTAGAAGCGTTGCCTTTAAGGAGCACCAAGTAGTAGGATGACAGCACACACTGCAAACTGGAACGAAATTAGAACTTGAAAATATGTTTATTTTCTTTCAACAACAACAGTTGCTTTTGTGTGTGTGTGCTAAGAGCCACAATGTTATTTCTCTATATACTTATGTAACTATAGTGTAAACATATATATATATATATCTATATATATCTATATTTATATATATGTGTGTGTAATACAATTCATTTAAGCATGAATCGAACGATCCACCGTTATTAAAATGATTAACTATTGATTTAAAATATGCAAAAAGAAAAACTATAAAAAAATACAAAAAAAAAAAAAACAAAAAAGAAAAACAAAAAAGAAAAACCAAGAACAAATTGAAATGTGAGCAAGAAACTTGGCTTCAAAGTGCACTCGACGCAAGTGGCGATCGGCACAGCTGTATAAAGGCTGGATCAAGTGGAACTATGCCATATTAAATGCTGCGAAACCAATCTATATATACATATATCTATATACTTGAATCCCCAGTTGCTGGATCGCCGCCTGCAGCGTGCATTAAGTGAATGACACCGATAATTACAAAGATACACAAAAACAAAACAATGAGAAAATTATGAAAATGAAAATGAAAATGAAAAAAAAAAACTGAAAGCTAATACTAATTTAAATGAAAAGAAATTGTATTGTAAATGTAAAATAGTATCGTTTTCGTATGTATATGTAGTTAAACTAAGGCTAAACTCTAAACTAAACGCTATATATAAAGATATAGAAAGTGTAATGCATATATATCTATATCTATATATATCTATATATATATATATATATATTTATAAATGTAAAGTATTTCGTTGTTGTACGATTAAAACAAATACGCATTTTTTTTGTTAGTTATAAAACTCAAATCAACTGAAAATGCATCAAATCAAACACGAATGCACAGAGAGGCGGCGAAAAAGAAAGAGACAGAGCGACAGTGAAAGAGAGAGAGAGAGAGCGAGAGCTATAAGGGAAATTTGTACATTTAACGACAACAAAGGCATAAACAATAATGAAAACAAAAATACAATAGTAAGCGAGAGCAGATATTAAAGAACTTTGGTAAAATTACACAAATTTAGCATAAACGAAATACACACACACACACACACACACACACTTGAAAAGGGGTAAAAAAGTAACAATAATAATAAATTTAATGCAAATCGAAAACTATTTTAAAAATTTTTAATCATGAAACAGTTACAATTACAAATATTACCAATTTATAAAAAAAAAAAAAACAAAAAACTATATATAAAGAACAAAAAAAAACAAACTAATACATAAGTGTAACTACAGAGAAGAAGAAGCAGAAGCAGAGACACACATTAAAAGGAAGAAAATAAACACTAAAAGTAAAACTATAAAAAAAAATGAAATAAAAATAGTGCCTAACACAGAAGCAAAGTATTACAAGTCGACATGACCGCAGGCAGCGAAAATTGATTTGAATTTTCATTTTCATTTTCATTTTAATTTTTCTTTTCTTGTTCTTCAATACAGAAATACAGTCATTAGCATATATATATATATATATATATATATATATATATATATATATATATATATATATATATATATTTATGCAAATGTGTGTGTTTCACTCGTTTTTTTCTGTACAAAGCTCGATATTGTTTTTCAATTGCTGTTTCAATCTCACTTTATAGATACTTTAAAAGAATCTGCAGAAGAAAAACAAAACAAAACAAAACAACAAGAAAAATCCGTTCAGTATCAAGTTAGCAACCACCTTAAGATCTTAGTTTACTATATATATATATATATATTATATATTGCCCGCCTGCTGCCCCCACTCATACCCTACCCCCGTGACCCTTATATACCCAAAGCAATCGGAGAGCTACTTAGTTTTAAACCGTCTCAAGCAGACTAATCTTGGGCTAAAGCCCAGCCACATGCACTCTCTTGAAATTTGTAAACCGATTTTGGCCCATATTTTGTAGAAATCTGATTTGTACAACAACAAGGCCAAGAAAGACATTTGATTTGAAATTTTCTTTAATTGGCAACGATTTTATTCTTTCTTTTTTGGCTCAAGTTAATTTTGAATATATATGCAATAACAATTTGTTGTAAGCCAACTATATATATATATATATATATACACTTATGTGCAAAAGCAGGAAATGTGTAATGTCCCGACCATACGGCAATCTAATCCCTGTAACTTCCTCTATCCAACACGCTCCATGCTACATTTTAAGTTATGTTTGGGTTCTTTTTTTTGTTCTAAATAGAAAATTTAATTATGTTTATTTTTATTCTTTTTTTTTTTTGTGAAAATACACTGTAATTTAATAAGCAAGAATGAGATCATCAGCAACCATCATCATCATCATCAGTAATTTACTATAAATATATATATAAAGAAGAGAAGATGTAAACGAAAACAAAAATAATAGTGCTTAAATCAATTATTAATAAATTTATAAATAGTTATAAAGCAGAAGATAACTGAAAACAATAACAAAGCAAGGATGAACAGTGAATATGCAAAACAATAAAATTGCAATTATATTTATATAAATAATTGCAATTCACGATTTAAGCTAAATATAATATATATATATATATATATACTTATATGTATATGAATCTATATATATATATATATATATATGTATATACTATATATGTATATGTATTTTGTTTTATATTTGTCGTTCAAACAAAATGCTAGAATCGAACGAGCGCAAATAAGGGAGAAAAGAAACATGTGAAATTTACGTAAGGAAAAAATGTGTCATTTTAATTTTTACACTGAAATGCATTAATAAAAATTTTAATATATTAAAAAATCTCAAATTGTGCGCGTGTTTGAACTTGTCACTCAGCTGGCATCGTCGTTTGGCAGATTCATTTGGAACAAATCATCTTTGTATTTACTAAACCAGTTCTAGATAGAATATATCTAGACAGACCTAAAAGCCAACGCTATGAGTACTCTCTAGCAGCCCAACTGAAATTCATACAACTCGCAACATTGGATTGCCATTAACTATAGTTTTATTGTTACATATACATATACACATACATATCGAACGCAAAAGCTTGGAACTGCGTAAAATAATTCACTTGGGCATCGCGCACATACAAAGTTTCTAAATCAAAGTTGTTTTCTTTTTTCGTTTCTCGCACTCATAGGACGATGAGTTGTCTTTTAATTTGGTTTGTTTGGTTGGTTGTTTGTTTGTTTGTTTGTTTCAAAGTGTTTGTGTTTTCTTTTTAATATTTTAGTTTAATTTTTACAATTCATATTCGTTAAATATATATGTTATTATTTTCATAATCGTTTGCGCGTAAAGCACCCTACGAAAGGATTCTATCTATCCATTGGAGATAACTAAATTGACTGAAGTCACATTTGTTCAGCAATCCTCTCGACAATGCCTCCACCTCAGCACGCATATAACTTTTAAAAGGTACAATTTCAAAATATCAAAGGAAAAAATAGTAATGAAAATACATTGACAGGCGGAAAGGAAAAGGTTAAAAGTTGAAAATAAAATTTAAAGACAGCATATGTCGTGAAATTACAAGGACACTAATTGCAGAAATTTTGTTATTGAAGGTTGCTCCCTCAATGTTTTCTTGATACTTTTTCTCTCTATACTCTTCACATTCAGGCTATGTTATTGCAAATCCTTGTTGTTGATGTTGTCGTAGTTGTAGTTGTAGTTGTTGTTGTCGTTTTATTCTCCTCTTGCTGTTGTTGTTTCGATTACTGCTGTAGCGTGGCTTGTTCTGTTGATTGAAAAGATGCGGCGCCCAGAGATTGCTAGGCAAACAGCAGCCAACCGATACATAGAAAGGCGAGATACAGAAACAGCCGAGAAAGCGTCTGTTCGTCGTCGTATTGTGTAGTACCGCGATTAGCCGCTAAAAAATGTAAACACACGTCAGTTTACAGCAATATATATATATGACATATTCGTTGCTTACCAGCTGGCCGTGGTTCACCAAAGTTAAGCGATGATGTAAAGAAACCAAAGGGAAAAGCACCAATCCCGAACGATACATGGAAGCTATCACCAAAACCAAACCCCGGGAAACCAGGTGCTGGCTCTGGCTCTGTACGCTGACCAGCAGGACGTGGCGGCACCTTATTGCTGCGGGTTACAAGAATTTGTTAGAAATTCATTTAGTTTCAATTGCATTATTTTTGGCCACATCGCGGCACTTACCGTGGATCCTCTTGGCGTGTGCTATTGCGACCATAAAGTGGTATCACCTTATCCTTATCAACGGCTGCCTTGCAGACGGGGCAGAGCTTGCGATTGGGCCGTGTTAGTAGCCATTGATGCAAGCAGGGCCAGCAGAAGAGATGGCCGCACATGCTGACCACCGCATCCTTGGCTGTGTCCAAACATATGTTGCACTCGTAAAGTGATTCCTCGTTTTGCTCCTTGTCGCTGCTGCTGCTGTCATTATTGGGTCCAGCTGTTGATGTTGATGCTCCTGCTCCTGCTGTTGTTGTTGTAGTTGATGATGATGGCGACGACGGCGTCGCTTCACTTGCGGCTGAGCCACTCAGATCTGCAATGCCGCTGGCCAGGGCGCTGCCCGTGAATGAATACGATGTTGACCGATGACGCAGCTCAGATGTGGTGTCAGTTGGCTTTTTGGCCCAGCCAATATTATCAGTGTCCACACGCTCCGAGCCGCTGTTGTTCGAGTTGTTGCTGGCATTGCCATCGCTATTTGTTGATGTGCTGGGCAATTCAGGTGCCGTGGCCAACTGTGGTTCGCCAACCAAAGTGGCTGTTGCCGCCTCCATAACCGACACTTTCCACTTCTCTAACAAATGTGCCCCAAAACGTTACTGATGATGGGTTGCTCAAACGTCCCCTAAACGCACGCTCTAAAAGAAACCAACAACAATGCATTTAAAAGCAGGCCATTTCAAGAAATAAACAGAACAGAACAGAACAAAACAAAGCGAGGCAATTATAGATATCGTCAACCTGGTGTGAACCCACAACTGCAGCTAATTGGAAATACAATATATATATATAAACAAATGTGCGTGTGTGAGTTGAAAACATACAAATACAGACAATTACCCAATCAATAGTGTACACGTTCCTTAACATAAGCTCTAAATGCTATATGTGGCGTTAGTGGCTTAGAATCCGCTTAGATGCGCTTGAAACTCCTATTATTTCAAAATATACTGTTTAGAATTTATGCCAAAACGTAACTTCAATTTGAAAGTGGGAACTACATAGATGTGACACTTGCCACTACAGATCCTATATATGTATATATATAAATATATACGTATATAGAGCCATGGACCTACATATATGCAATATAGCCGAAAGTTAGTTTGCAAAACACTTGCAAGCCACAGTTTCTACATACATAGATTAAACACACACACACACATATATATATATGCACGCATACATACATATGTATATCGCATGTCATTTGCTACGCATGTTTATCGCAGAAAACGTAATCAAAGGTAATTGTACGGTACTTAAGTTTAATTCATATGTAAGCACTTATGTACATACAAGCATAGGCGTGCCTATGTATATCACATATACACATGTGTCTACTATTCGTATAAACTGTAGACATTTGCCTCCACAGTGTCCCAGTTAGCAGGTGCAAAGGTATGTAATTTGACTGCATAACAAAAACGTATGAAACGCATGTGAAACTTACAATAATTTGGCAATTTAACAAAATATATTTGGCTCGTCAAGCAGTTAGCCTGTTGCCCAGTATCACCTGTCGCTCCAACAGTTCGAAATCGCTTTTCACTCAGAACTTTCAGATCAGTTTCGAGAATGCCAAAGTACACGGCGAAGGGTCCAAAGATTGCATGCAATTAACATTATAATGGCTTCATCATTTCATCATTATGAATATGAAAACGAACTTAATCAAGATCAGAGCGAGCGAGAGAGAGAGAACATTAACAGACGTCACGTGATGCTTTGATAACATCTACACCTGGCACTAGAAGTTTCAATCGTTTCCGGATATCAGTGTTGCGTACCTGGCGGAATCTTAAGCAGTGCTACTGCTACGCTAGTGCTAGTGCCGCTGCTGCTATTCGCTAATGTTATTCAAATTGTACAAACAAAAACAAACATGTATGTATGTACGTACATGCATACAAGGCAGAGCCGAAAGGCAAGCTTTCAGCTATGTGCGTACTTTGCAACTGGCGTACAGAGGTATGTACATACGTGACTGCTTACATGTGTATTTTCCATACGTAAATATACGAAGCGTTGCACGTCTGTATGTGTGTATGGTGCATACGAATGTAGCGATACCCTATCAGATGAGCACGCTCACATACATGAACAAAAACACACACGCATACACACCAACACATGTGTGTGTGCACAATAAATACTCACACGCACACAGATGCAAATCCATGTATTTTCTACGACACTGTTATTGTTTGATTGTTTTGGTCAAAATGCCACACAAATAGTTTTTGCGATATTTGGCACTCAAATGAAATTCCATTTCCCGTATCACATGAGTTTTTGATTTATTTGTAAGTTTTTCAATAATTTGCTAGTGCTAATATGTGTTTATTTTGATTTTCCTCAAGGCGAAACTGGTTGGGCCTGGCATACTTTGAAAAAAACATATGTATGTACCAGTACACACATACTTATACATACCTTTTAGTAGCGTATCATATGCACACGTAATTTCTTTTTATTGGAACAATATACGTTTATAGAACTGACACTTTAACAATAAATTATATTACATGAAATGTCATTACAATCAATCTCTATAGTTCGCCTAAAAAGTATTAAGTGGCCAGAACCAAAGTGATGGCGATATGCCTCAAATTTGACGGGCGGCGACAATCGAAAGAGCAGTTGATATCGCACTTGCACCCATCGATATATAAGTATTATCGTACGTATCGATAAGTATAAAAGGTATAGAAATATCGCGGGCAGATAACCATTAAACGATATTTTAAACGCTATTTTTCCCTTTTTCTAAATTTATATTAATTATATGTCACATATGTCATATGAGATAAAAAATCAAATACCGATACTTATACAGGTTTCACTTATATTGAATGTTTTACGAATACCAATAAGATTTTCCTTCATACAACCTTTGGACCCACTTTCCTAGTAACGGAGACTTTTGAAACAGTAGTTTTTAAGTACTCGTGAATGATGTGCACATATATCGATAAGATATGATTTTAATGTGATTTTTGCCGTTCTCAATTTTGACATACCAGCATGACACTCAATTTTGTTGAGCACCATCCTACTAATATATTCATTTAATAATAATGAGAGCCAATATTTACAGATATGTATGTGACAAGCGGTAGAGACGCTTTTAAGGATATAAAAGGAAACATTTTTATGAATATGTAATTTGCCAGTAAATATAAAGGATTTATGCTTGGCGCTATTTCGTAAAAAATGTTCTGTTTAAGCTAAAAACGACGATTAATGTATACAATTTTAATTAACAATTAAAACGCAGCGGCGGCAATAACTTGGACGGCCATGTAAGCGGTAGCGATCAGTGCCACAAAGAAGGAGAGGGCACGTGTTGGCTGTGGCACAACTACGACAGCATAGACCAGGGTGTGGACAATGCGCGAGATGCCAACGGCGCGGAATAGATTGATGGCCAAAAAGGCGCTGGGGTTCGTCAGTGTATAGAGCAGGCCAATAGCGAAGAAGGGCAGAATGTTCTCCAGATCGTTGCGGTGAGCACGACGCACACGCTCCACATTGGGATCATCGAATTTAACCTTCAACTTCGGCGACATCAAATCCTCTGGATTGGCGAAAGTCTGAAAAGTCAGCAAAGCATCAATTACACATTGATAAACGCTCTCATAATCTGTACGCTTTCACCCGAAGACCGGACTTTGACCCAGTAGCTGCTGACTGGCGCTGTCCTCTAGCTTACCTTGGTCTTGAAACGTTGTATGGCCGTCAGCAAAGACATGGCCAACATTTTGATGACCAGCACACCGGCCCAGAACGTAAAGCTCTTGAATACCGGGTTGTTTAGGGTAAGCAGTTCCAGGCTCATCTTTCCTTCTAATCACACTTTACGCTTTTAGCCAAACCAATTGAGAACCGCTTTCGGGCGTTGCAAACTATCAACTGGCGTGAGCTCTGCGTATATTCTTATTATATGTGTGTATGCCGGTTTGTGTTTTGCTCTCTACTCGACTCTCTCCCTCTCTCGCTCGTACACTCGCACATGCTTGCCCTCTCGCAAGCTAGCTCGCTCCCTCTCTCTCTCACTCTCTTACGCATAGCCAAAACACTTGTATGCTTTTGTAGAAAGCGCTGAGTCAGACTGACACCATCAAACCATCAAATCCAAACAACAACAGAAACACACATACATACATACGTAAATACTTGCCCGTACATCAGCTTACCAAAGTTATGAACCGCATAAGGCCTGTCAACAGGCTCATAGCAAACATTTTGAGCACCAGCAGCGCAGACCAGCCGATATAGCAGCGGAACACCTCATTGTCCAGTGAGATTAGCTCGGAGTGAAACATTATCGCGCCTTGACACTTGCCTAACGATTGATTCACATTCTATTAGCCAGTCCCAACTATATGCAATACATGCACTATGCACCTGCATTATTTCAGGCGAGATGTCAAATCAATTCTATGTACGGGCCGAACAGCTTATCGGCAATATCTCTACTGAATATTTGCTCAGCGTACGATTTACACATGCACACTTGTAAGCTAGCCACTGTATGCCCTCTAAATAGCAGTTGGGGAATTGGGGTATATTGAGGTCTAAGAATTGATAAGAATCGATTTTCAGCCAAACTTTGTCTGTGCAGGATATCTATAAGTCATGCAGTCCCTGATGTGTTATACAAATATCATTGGTTTCTTCTATGAATATATATTTATATATTGTACCTCACAGAATGTTTCGCTTCTTCAAATGAAATAGTTTGAAAGTAAGCCCCATTTCAGGGTATACCTCAAATGTACTTGGCGTCACATCTGCGCATCAAAGCGATTAAACGAATTGACAAAAGCTCGAAAAAAATGACTGTAATTGTAGTGAATTGTAAACAAAAAGCGAATAATTTTCAAATTAGCCCAGATGCAGCGGTTAGTCGGGGCGTAGTATAGAAATATTGTCAGCCAGTTAATGCATATGTAGCTAACAAGCTCTTGTGAGAATTCACTTTAAATTGCAAATGGAATTGATGCTAAGTAAATAAAAAAAAAATAAATTATAAAGCAATGTTTATTTCTTACATATGTAAATATCATTAATTAAACTTCAATATATCAGGCACGCTCTTTTAATCGTTTACGACTCTCGATCAGTTCTCTAATTCTATTATTTATTCTATTGGATATTTTATGACGCTGTTCATGCATAGCTTATAAATACGCTCATATAATCTCTTATACACATATACAGCTTTGAATAAAATTTCTAATTGGATTTTTCCTTTATGACACTGCACTTATGCATATAAGGCTTTGAATCAGCTCTCCTATTGCAATGATATTAAAACACTGCAGATGGGTAGCTATTAAATAAGATCATACGAGCTCTTATAATGCGTATAAGTCTTTTATTCAGCTGTCTAATTAGCATTTTTCTCTTAGGAATCTTATAACTCTTATGAGTCTTTAAATAATGTATCTAATTGGAATTATTGCCTTAAAGATTTGCAAGTATTTTGCAGTTTAGTCAGCTTTAATGGCACATAAAAAGGGGTTCGTTACGGTTTATGTTTTACTTTGATCAAAGTTCAATTTATAATTGAAAAAATCAGAGTTTGAACCGATGAAATGCGACACAAGCTTTGCTTCAGCTCAAATACAAACGGCATTTGCAATTTGTACAAATCTAGAACACAGCCAAGATCTAGCCAAAGGGCTGATTGTGCTGTGGCCTGTGGGCTATGGCTACTGCTCTCATTAAGAGACCTTCATCAGAATTTCGTGAACAAATTAAAAATGGCAACTTATGTGCGCAGAGCTCAGTTGCAGCTCAACTCAATCAGCTGCAGTTGCCGCTGCAAGTTCGCTTGAAATATTTGTTGTCTTACTTAAACTAAAGTGCGCTGTAATCTCTCATCATCATCATCATCATCATCAGCAGCAGCAGCAGCAGTAACAGCGTCTCCGCTTTTCATCACTGGGCCCATTTGTGGCTCTGTCAGCATTTTGCTAAGGAAAGCCACAGGCGAGCTGCACTTCAGAATGAAATGCCTCTTCCTATGATTCTTGAGTGTAATTAATTAATTTCGCGCTCATTTAACTATGCGCCCATTGTTTGCTGACGCTGCTGCTGCTGCGCAGCATAAAGCATAATGTGCACAATTTACATAACATTCGGATGGGGCAGCAATTGCAGCTCAGTGATCGTTCCACATTGGCCGTGTGCACGCGTCGCATTCAACTCGACTACGAACTGCGCCCTGGAGAAAGGATATCCGAAAGGAACAATTGAATTATTTTCTCTTTTTTTGTCTAAAATGTCGCACGGCGAACGAAAAGGTCGCCTGAATGTGGTTAAATTTCTAGAATTGGTAAAGCAACTTCGTGTTTTCCTTTTTTTTAAGTGCAACATAAAATGAAACAGTTAAGGAAAATAAGTTAATGAGTTTCTTAAGTTTGAGTAAAAGTTGCATGACTTCAGCTGCAGCTGAAGAGCCGAGCCAATGAGTTGGAGTAGTCCAGTGGGGAGTGCCTGACTTGTGATTACCCTGACTGACATGCCGAAAATAAATACTTTGTCCTTCTCCTTTTGCAAATGGCTTAGGTTATATTATATATTATATTAAAATATATTTTAATATATTATTAAAGACCAACTCTGAAGTCTTTAATAATACATTAATATATATTAAAATTAATATATATTATAATATAATATATGCAATCTATAGAAATTCTATTTAGTTCCATTTCAGTTAACAATTAAGAGTTCTCTACTTTTACTTCATACCCCTACTGATCTCACCCAGCCCACCCCTTTTTTCACCTTTCTTTAGGCCTTCTCCGTTGCCTGCCTTGTGCTGCACTTCTATAGCTTTAACGATCGCGACATTATGACCTCATTCATGGCGACGGGCACATTCACTGGCTACATTATTGTGGTCATCGGTGTGTTTGCAGGTAAGACACAATCCACATATATATGCATATATAATATAGTCAATGTATGTCTGCTGGCTTTGTCTCGCAGGCGTCCTGATGCGTGCACCCATACACAAGCGCATCGACATCTTCTTCAGCGTGCTGGGCTGCGCCCTGTTCGTGGCCAGCGGGATCTTCATAATCGAGGCCTGGGAGTTCTCCTTTCGCACACGCACACGGGATCTGGCGCTGATCAAGGCATCGTTGTCCATAGTGAATGGCGTGTTGTTTGGCTTCGATGCCATCTTTACATTTCGGGATAAATAATACATAACGCTCGGTGATTCGGCCCCATTTTGGCACTGCATTTACAAACGTATTATACTTAAGACACAGATACTTCCCGCATACATACATAGACATACATACATACGTGTTTGAAATCATAAATAATATATTACAGAAAAGAAACCAGGAAAAAACTAAAATAGGAAAAGGTTTTCGTTCTCTCGCTAATCATAACTTTTTATTCTTATTTTTTTCCACTTTTTTTTTAAAATAATTTTTACAATTTCGTGTGCAATTTTTGTTTTGTCAATAAAAAAAATATACATATGTTTAGTGTATATGAGTCTGCATTGTGCATTAAAGGTGATTACAATTAGACTGAACACACGCCCACGCCCACACACACACACACACACACACACACACACAGAGAGCCACATGCAAACGTACAGAGGCGCACCAATTAGTCGCTGACATGGAAATCATGAAAAATAGCTTGGACGCGTTTATACATTGTTAAAGTAGTTAGAATTAAATTTTTATTGTGTTTGTTTTTTCTTTTGTTTCGTTTTTGTTTTTATATGACTTTTTTCATGATTTATTGACGTGAGAAAAATATGCAACGTCGTCTTAAGTTGGTTGTCGTCGAACTCTAGTGCATCTTTGGGTGTTGGGCTGCTGTTTTTGCTCTAGGCTGTGGTGGCGTTGGCGTTGTTGTTGTTGGTGTTGTTTTTGTTGTTGTGGTTGGTGTTGTGTTGTCTTAGGCAGAATTGTGTATATTAAGGCGGAAAATATCATGAGCAACAAAAAAGGTACCGGCATTGGCTTTCAGCACAAACACCTGAGAGAAAGCGTGTGGAGGATCGTCGTCGCACTGAAATTTGATTGAAAATGAATTCGCATTACAAACAATGTCAACAATCTGTAGCAGCAATATTTAATATAGCAATAATTGCAAATAATAAACACGTGCTTAAAACATTAGAAGTTAAAGAATTGTATTAGAAGAAAGTTGGATAAGAAAACAAAGTCAGGGAAAAGTAAATACACCGAATATAGTCCGCATGAATGAATGGCTCTCTTCGGTGCACCGAAGCTCAGATACTCTTGCAGACAGCAAAAGACAGTTAAATCAACTATATCTCATTTCAGTTCCGATAAAACCTAAATAACATTATGGGCTTGCATAGCATGTATACAAAAACTTGATCTTGTGTAGAATTAATGAAATAAGAAATATGTTGATACAACAGAAAAGAATTTTCGTTATTCTATATTCTACACATATGTATATATATGTATATATATATATATATATATATATATATATATATATATATATATATATATATAATTTCTTGCTACTTAATTAAATAAAAATTCAAATTAGGGAAATGCTATTTGCAGAAAACAGAGGCTTCTATGCTATACAAATTCGTTTAGATCTATTCAGAACTCATACATCTCGAAACGTTGACTGCAAAGCTCCTGCATCAATAGCTAAGACAGAAAGCTCCCAGACAGAAAGTAATTGGATAGCGTCGTCATTGCAGCATGGCAACACCATGAAACGGAAATACGTGTTAATAATACTCTCAACAATAACAACATTAGCAATAGCAATGGCAATGGCAATAGCAATGGCAATGACCTGTCTGTAGAGTAGGACATGATGATCGCATTTGACGCACCCGGCAACAGAAGAGTGCTGCAATAGGTTTGCCTGTGTATGGGTGCACATGTATGTATGTATGCAATTATGTACAGAAATTGAAGTTTCGTATGCAAGTAGTGTTGTTAGCATGGTTCAATAGAACAATTATACAAAAGTATTAAACTCATTTAGTAGACTATTAACTTTTTGTTTGCTTTTGTTACGATTGGATGCAACAGAATGCTGTTTACTTTGCCTGGCCAGGATCGCTCTCTGAGTGTGATTTGAACTGTGGTTGCTGTTGCTGTTGTTGTTGATGTTGATGTTGCTGTTGCATTCGGTCGAGCTGATACGAGTGGCTACACATTGTGCAGCGCAAGCCTAAAGATGTCGTGCTGCACAAAGAAGCTAACGCCCACAGGTTTCAGTACAAAGGTCTGAATATACGCATGCGGCTGATCCTCATCGGTCTGCAGCAATATAGTCATATGTATACATATATTTATATATATATTTATACATACATACATATATAGATGTATATATATATATGTATATAGTGTCATATATATGCGAATTGAAACCTATTTACTGTTTGAATGATCAAGGCTCCATTATGATTCTCACCTGTAGCCGGCCAAGCACATTTATCAAAACTCCGCCATCAAATGTGGGCTGCGAGTCAACGGTTGTAATTACTCGTGTGATCTTTTGGAAACTCAGGCTCTTTATTAAAAGAAACAAAAATAAAGAATAGGTGAATAAGTTTGATTGGCTTATACGTTAGCTCTACCTACCTGGACTTTCTCAAGTATTTTTGGCGCTCCTTGGATTTGATGCCCTTCGAAAGTCATAAAGGACTCCGTTGCCTGGGCGAAATGAAACGAGAAACAATTACAATTATTCGATTAGTGCGAGCGTGTATGCGTGTGTGTGCGTCGGTCGTCACATATGTATATACAGCTATGTGCAAACACACATACGAACCATCGTACATACAACATGACTATTCGTGCAAATTTCGCATGTATGGCGACGTCTGTTCATATGTATGTGTGTGTGTGTCATACGCTGTATGGGAAATTTCGAGAAAGCCACTTTTATGCCCTGACATGTGCATACAAATACATACTAATTATTTAGTTAATTTGCAAAAGCATTTTTTGAGCGGCGAAAATAACAAAATAATCATTTGCGCGCTCTTTTTATCGGTGTGAGCAAGAATTATGCTGTAGGCATTTTGTCAAGGGCGCCATGCGCGTCACCTGTGCGACTAAGCACAATAATATTGCCCTTGTTCGTACATATACATATAAGGCGCCCAACGAAGAAGAGTGTGTATGCTGCTTAGATTGCCTATCGAAATTAAATAGTCAAAGAGAATTCATTGCCCAATGTGGGACGCCACTTACGCTGTAAAAGTTTACCACATTGGCGCGGTTCGCCGGGTCGTCAAATATGCCATAATATTGTTGAACGAAACCCTTGCCAATATCCTCGTACTGTAGGTTTAGTGCCATATTATCGATATTTATTTATTTATTGGAAGTGTCTATAATTTGAAGCTAACTAAGTAGGCTATCAAATATTTTGATTTAGACTTTATGAAATTGAGAGACACTGAAAACGCAAAAGACACAGGGAAAGTGTGACCAATATCGAGTAACGCCGAAATTCGTGTTCAATTCGCTTTCTAACATAATTGACTTGTTTCGATTACTCGATTAAAAATAATCGATAGTCAATAGTACGTGTTTTGGTTCTAATTTTGCTCTAACTTTTTTATGTAAATTGAAATTCATTTGCCGAGTATCAAATGTGCAAGTTTAGCAGTTTTCTTATTCGTAATTTTGTTTCCAACAAGTTTTGTGTAAAATTGTTCTGACAGATTTTAATAAGCAAAAGGGAAAGACAACGTATTATTTGAGTTTATGAAAACGGTCACACTGTAAGACTCTATAAATTCCAAACGGCTGTGCGTTTCGTGCGCAAAGCGATTAAAGAGTTTTTAGTGTTATAATGTTAACGTTAGCAAATATTTCGCAGCTTTGTCGCATATGCCTGAGACATTTGCGCCAGCAACAGCAGCCACCAAATGCTACACCCAGAGATACCCATTACCCACAACGGAACAAATCCAGCTACAACTCAAAGGCTTTACCACATTTGGCAAAAACGTTGAATCAGTTTTTTGCCATTGACATTTTTCAGCAACCGGACTCCTTTCCGCAGCAAATATGCGCATTGTGTTACAATGCCGTGGAATATTTCCAGCAGCTATGTGCCGTCGCCGAGCAGAGCAATGAGATGTTGAGGCGCCTGGACGTGACCTTGATAGAACAGCCGGAAGCTCCAGTCGCAGGCATTGGCCCTGATGCTAATGCTGATCACTCGGTTGGTATATACAAATCTTTACAGTTGAGTCAGCTTGTTTTAGGGCTGAGCTAGCGTTTTTACAGTTGCCGCTAGTGAAAGCTGAGCCCACGGAGGATGAAGCGCAGCGTCAGCAAGAATACGATTTCGAGCATGACAGAGACGCCGATGCAGATGCTGACTTAGATGTCGAGTTCGATGGTGATGCAGATGCTGATGCAAATGCCTATGCAGATGCCGATGCCAATGTTAACAATCAAAGCCAGGATTCAACGAACGATGATGAGACCGTCATGAGCAGCTGTGCATCAACGGAGGTAGGCGCAGCGGCTGCTGCTACCAAACGCAAGCTACTCGCCTGCCAACAGTGTGGCAAGCAGGTGTACAAGCTACCCTATCTGGAAGCGCATATACGTAGCGTACACGAAGGTCATCCGAAGCCGTTTCTGTGCCGCAACTGTGACAAAGCGTTCACGCGCTACGAACAGCTGCGTTCACATGTACGCAATGTTCATCCGGCTGTGGCTGCTGCCACAAAAGCAGCTAGCGACGAGCTGGAACTGATCTGTGAGCAGTGCAATCGCAGGTACAGCACCAAAAATGCACTCGGCGAGCATCTGAAGCGGCATGCACAGGAGAAGCCGCACATATGCGAGCACTGCGGCGCTGCCAAGGTAACACGCACCGAACTGCTCACCCATCTGCGCATACACAATCCCGACTGGGAGAAGTTCAAGTGTAAACAATGTCCGCAGCTCTTCCGGCACAAGAGTGCCATTAGCAGGCATGTGCGCGTCGTCCATGAGGGACAGCGACGCTTTCAGTGCGGTCACTGCCAGAAGAGATTCGGCACTCACGCCTCACAGCTGCGACACGAGCGCCTGCACATTGATACATATTAAATAGATGGGCTAGGCCTAATCTATCGACCACATTCCAAATGATATATGTATATGCATTCATTCCAACTGCTTATCTGTATTACAAAAATTATGTTAACTCCACTTCTTTGTTCACATTGTTTACATCCATCGTATCGAGCACATTGATATATGCACAAAAAATCAAAAGGAAAGCGAAACCCAGACGCTTAGTAATAAAGCGAAATTTTAGCTTTTAGCAAAACAATTGAATGTTTACTTTATTCTGCTAGAAACCAATCCATGTATTTTGCTACGCAGCTCGAATTTCTTTTAAATATATAAAAAGCCTCGAATAATATAAGGTATATTCCAGCCGGGAGTGTACCCGACTAGGTCAGTCTTAGTTATTAAATTCATTGTTCCATATTTGAGTTTTGGACATATTTTTAATGTAATTAAATTATTTGTTTCATAGATTTGTTTGTGCTTTGGAATCTATATGATATTGGAAAATATCTGTCAGTATTCAAATAGGGAAAGCCAGAATATAGGGATTTTGAAATAGTTTTCGCGATCTTCAGTCTTCAGTCTTCAGTCTTCACTCCATCATAACTATTCCCTATGAGTTGTCATGATCCGGGTGTTGAACACAAATCAGTCAGTCATTATTATGTACATCATTAAGGTTGTTGCGACAATTTTGATACACGATATTAATTATTTGAACAGCTTAAGAAAAATGATCCTAGTATACAATCCGTGCCGGGCCAGCGGAAAAGTTGCCAACTTGCCGTGAGCCAAACTCTTTGTTAAACCAATTCTTCATGGAAACCACCCAGTACTCCAACTGGCTGTCGTGTGTGTGTATCTCAATAAGTTGATTTAACTCCCTTTGGTATTCTCTGGCCAGTTGCAGATTGTTGTCATCGAAGGCTTCGCAAATCTTGTGCACAAGATCGGGTCGAATGTTAACAACGACCAAACTGCTGCAATTGAAACCGGACATAAGGCCGCTGGCCAGCAATGCTGTGGATGCCAGCATGACGAGACGTCCGAAGCGCAAGCAACGCTGACCCATTTCCAGATCAGCGCTGGCATAGTATAGACCCATAAAATTCGATATGCACTTTTCAGCCTTGGAGCAAAACTCAACCATGTCTACTGCAAGGCAGATGCCAACATTATTAATCTGAGCACTTGGCTTCAATCTCAACCTCAACTTACGCTCCACGCCCGTCATCGAGGGCATATGATAATAGAAAAAGGGTCTCGTATTGCAACGCTTGGCCACATGCTGGCAATATTTAACCAATTGATCCACATTGCGTGGACGATAGAACAGTTCAGGCAATGTGACAACTCCACTAACGCGAACCGCTTCCGCATGGGCGGCTAGTGAGACGACATCGGCTAGTGGTGCACCGCCCACCTGAACCATTATCATCAGATTATGCCGAACAGCCGCACGTTGCCAATATTCACAGTTCGCCTTTCGTTCGCGCACACGCATCATTGGACCCTCGCCGACAACGCCATTGATTAGGACGCCCGAAATCATTTGGGTGCGTAGCCATTCCGCATACCGATTGATAGGACGGACGTCCAAGGACCGACGTCTTTACATATATGTGTGCATGTAGATTATTATCTGCAGATGGTTTATATACTCACTCATCATCCTTGAAACAGGAAAATACCGGTGCTAACAGTCCGTGAAATCTTGAATCAAATACCCCTGTTTCCTTGGGCAGTGAAGTTGGCGATGTCAGTTCGGTGTCCGTTTGACGGATTGAGTCTTCTCTGTCAGCTTCCCGCACTAGTGTGTTCGCATTTGCTTTATACCATGTACAGTAGAAATTTGCGGCATAAATTACCTGCGGCCGCTGGCATTTTGGGCTCGTTAATGCGGCTTTCAGATGATTGGGGGCCACTATCACGTTTTGCCTCGTCCCTACGAAACCAGGCCATAGCGCCGGCTAGAGGCCAAGTTGTCAACGGCTACGATAAATTTTTATGAATTTATTTGAATTGAGCGAAAAGTCGCAAACTGCGCAGTAAAAAAAACAAGTATGTATGTAAATACAAAGTAGGTGCTGGCTAGCGCATATTCAAAGCATGGCGGTTTTCTCCAGTCTGACCACATATTGGCAAAAGCTTAAATATTGAAATATTTCAACTGCTTACAAAAATTAAAATTCTCAAAAGCAAAACCATTAACTGACAAAATCCGAAAATCGGCATTTTAGGTACCGGTTGTAAAGTTGTTAAATTAATAAATAACATTGTTAATTAAATTAAATAAAATTAATCTGGCGATATATCGTGGTGACTTATCGATAGTTGGCAGGTTGTATTACCGATATTTTTGCATACCAATATATTGTTGAACTAGTAATTGAACTACAGTCGATACAGGTTGTTTTACAAATAATCGATACAACATCATTGTGAAATCGTTCCCCGTTGGAAGCAGATCGTGTTCTCCGTGAATATTCTAAAAAACAATTGTAACTTTTCGTAACGGTGAGTGTCTTCACATTTATTTAACCAATTATTTTGTTAGTTAAATGAGATTTGTGCTAAACGGTAAAAGTGCCAAGTTTGATGCCATCAGTGCCGTAAATAGTGCAATAGTAAATGCAATAGCATATTGTTTTGGTTTTTTTTTAGTGGGCGCTCCTATGGACGGCCGGCGGAGCACCACTTTTCCGTGCTGGTTTGACCTTTTTTAATTTAGTGGATACACACAATGCGCAACAACGATGGTGACTTCGTTTGCGCGACGAATGCATGGGCACACTTTAGTGTGGTGTACTTGCGCTTGCCTTTTTCAAAATGGCGGCCACTGCAGACAAGTTGGAAGTAAAAAGTTTATAATAATTGCAAAATATTTGTTTAATCTAATGAAAAGTTTGAGGGTTGTTGATATTATAAGAAAAGGTTGATCGCATAGGTTTGTGTTTTTGTTTTGTTCGCTTGATTAATATTGTAGTTTTTTAATAGTTGACTTAAAATATTTTGATTATTGTTATTTTCATTCGACTAAATTGTATGTGTGTGTATACTGTTGCTCACACATGCAGACTCACGTACACAAACACACACGGTTAGTGACACATGCGCATCAACATTTAAGTGTGTGGCTATGTGTGTGTGTGTTATTTGTTTTTTTTTTTTAGTTTCGCTTTTAATTGTTTCGCATTTGCGCGCAAAGTAACGGTGCAGCATTGTTTCTAACCCCAATTAATGACATGCCTGTGTACATGTACACACACATGAATGCATTTACCTTTAAGATATGCAGCTTGTTCACACACACAGGCAAATAGATGTCGTTGCTTTGCGCGCGTTAAATGCGAACGACGCAATTTTCGTTTGGGCACCTTTCGCTCCCTGTTTACAGCTTTCTTTCTCGCTCGCTCTTTATGTTATATCTATTGCTGTGGCTTATAACGCGTTGTTTGTGCTTTATGCGCAATATAGCCGGCCCGCTTACACATTTGCTATTCAAATGGGCGCCAAGTTTTGTTTTCCTTCACATTGCTCTTATGATTATTGTTATGAAATAAGCATAGCACAAAATGAAGCACCTGCAATACACATAAGTGATCCATTTGCATATGTGAGTGCAGTTAATCACTCATGCATGTGTTAGTGATTGGCTAGACATATATGACAGGGGGATAGATACCTGAATCTATTTGAAAATTGGGACAATTGCATTTGAAAGTTATATATATAGAGTTGCTGATATGTGCAAAATAATTTTCGTATAAATCTAAGAGAAGATATGCAAAAAAAAAAAAAAACTTGACAAGCATTACATTGCCTATTCTAATAGACTGAGTTGAATCTTAAAAATGTTATGATTAGCCTGAAGAGATTGTTTTAAATTATATTTCTTTATCAAGTAAAACTTCCAACATTGGCCATATTATAGATCGTATATGGATCAGGTTGAGAATTGATCGATATATCCAAGTAGACAATCACAAGATACTTTTAAATTCAGGCAGATGTGGTATGCAAGCTTTCGACCTTAAAAAAATCGATGCTTATTTTTCTTGTTTATGTTTACTCGAGTTTTTACCGTTTGTTGTGGGCCCCCTAGAAAGTCTTCGGGCATATTTTCCAAGCGGCTGCGTTGAGTGCGCGTGTGTGTGTATGCGTGTGGCACGATTTGAAGATCCGAAACTAAAAACTACAACTCATTACTTCAACTTGATTGATTCTGCGCGCATAAAAAGCAAAACGCAAAATTCACGACGCTCGAGTAGCAGGGCACAAAAGAAAAAGAAATGCAGAGGCCGTGTAAAAAGAGCGATTCATGGCACGAAAAAAATTTATGCACTCACACAATGGCTCAAGTGGGGGCACTCAAAGCTGTGGGCTGCAGCAACAGCAGCATCAGCAGACGACGACGTCGCAATTGAAGTGGAAGTTTTGAAGTGTTCCCAGAAGGCAGCCCAGGCCGAATGGCTAAGGAAAATGCACGGCATGAAAACGAACAAAAAGAAAATTTCTGCAGCTGTTGAAGCTAAAAAAGATTTCAACCCTCGCTGCTGCTGTAGATGGTTGCTGCTGCTGCTGTGGCCTTCGTTGCAGCGGCGTTTACCACATTCGCATCAGTTGCGCGCCAGCGCTTCGGCGCTGAGCGTCGCATAGCTCTACCAGTGACATTTAATTTAGTTAACACATCATCCAATTCACCTTACAGAACTAAATAAAGATGGCACGTACCAAGCAGACCGCCCGTAAATCAACTGGAGGCAAGGCTCCTCGCAAGCAACTGGCCACTAAGGCAGCCCGTAAATCGGCCCCGTCCACAGGTGGTGTTAAGAAGCCCCATCGTTATCGTCCCGGTACTGTGGCTTTGCGTGAGATCCGTCGCTACCAGAAATCGACCGAGTTGCTCATCCGCAAACTGCCTTTCCAACGGTTGGTGCGTGAAATCGCACAAGATTTCAAGACCGATTTGCGTTTCCAGTCGGCAGCTATCGGTGCCTTGCAGGTAAGCACCAGAAACACTATTTAACCCATTTGAATTCCAAATAATACGAAATAACTAATGTTGCAGGAAGCCTCCGAGGCCTATTTGGTTGGCTTATTTGAAGACACCAACTTGTGCGCCATTCACGCCAAGCGTGTCACCATTATGCCCAAGGACATTCAGTTGGCGCGTCGCATTCGCGGCGAGCGTGCTTAAGCGACAACAAAACAAATAATATTAACAAAAAACAAAAACAAAAACAAAAAAATACACAACAAATCACATTCATATTATATATACATGCATAGAAATTTGTTCAACAGTTTAACACTTTTTGTCGTCAATTGGAGCTTGATTTCATTTAATATCTTACACAAATTAAATATAAACACTATCTACATATAGAGAACATTATAATTATATAACCACACGCATATATAAACATAATCTATGAATATTATAATTACTAACTGTAATACTTATTATTATTATTATATTAGAAATGTATATTAGTTTTTTAAGTTTGTAGATCGCCCGCTGACCGCATTGCGTCGGCACTTGCCATCAAAATACGAACCTACGGTAGACGCCGTTGCAGCCATATCGCTGGCGTCGTGCCGCCATCTCGAACATCGCCACCTAACTCCAACAGTGCATGCAACGTGTTGCCACAGAAAGTGTTGAACTCTAAACAGCAACGCACAGCAGTCCCCCACATCATCAACAACCAAACCAACAGAACCGAAAGAAGCTGCTATGCGATCGCTGACCGCCAAACGAAACCCTTCGGCGAGTGGGGGCAAGGCTTCCTGTAGCAGCGCCTGAGCGTTGCATGTGCGGCAAGGTGACGTGCACGATGCCAGTGATGGTTGCAGCAGTGTTGCGGTTGCCACATGACGCAACGTGGACAGCGGGCGATCGGGCCAATTGAATAACATCACAAATTGGCCAACAAACATTTCTTTGAACACATCAGAAATGAGTACACAATAATACTGCATCTATTTTATATAATACTTTATTTTTTTTCAACCGTATATATATAATTTTTGAGGAAACAACTTAATATGGAAGGAGGCCCATTTGGGCGTGGTAGTTGATTAAATAAGTTATAGATTTACATGCATTTTATACGTTTAGGCAAGAAAATAACAGTAAAGAAAAATAAGAAAAACAGAAAACTTTCAAGAAAGAAAAAACAAACCATGCAAAATGACATCGTAAAATAGTATAAAATACATTCTTAAAATGTATACAATCTAAATATATACATAAATGTATTACGAATATGATCTATTCTATATATATATACACTTAACTTTACATAAATGTTTATGGAACTTACAAGATATTCATACAATATATAACAGACAAATAACCCCTCCAATAATGCACTTAAACGTACAGAGATTTGCATAGTTTGTTGCATTCAAACAAAAATACAAAAAAAAAGATACAATATAAAACTTATTAATGTTTTTTTAGCATACAATAGAAATCGTAAAAAAAAACAAAACAAACAACAAAAAAAACCCCCAGACAAGAACTTAAATAAACGGTTTTTTCTAGAGAAAAAGCCAAAAAAAAACAAAATTTGTTTTTTTGTCTGCGGTACAGTTGCGACAAAACGTAAACCGTCGACGTAACAACTGTGTCAATAGGTGTGCAGTTGTATGGGTGGATGTGAAGCTTTCGTGCGGTTGAATGCAGTTGTTAAAGGACAAGTGGCGCCATCTATGGGACGCATGATGCACTCTATTCTATGCAGTTTTGATGCAGAATTTATAAGAGCTTCCAGTTACGAATACACACATAAATATTTGAAATTAGAAGCAAATCTTATATTGATATATCTTTGCTTACGCATGTATTACTTATGCATACAAACAAAGGTATGTATGTATTAGCTATTCATTGTATTGCATGTTTGAGCTTTACATGCATTTGTGTCTGACCTCGAATGAATACGAGATCATGAAATAAGTTGTCGTTCAACAATCTAAAACAAATAGGATTAGTCATAACTATATTGCAATAGATTAGACAATTCATATAATTTGAATGTGACATCTTATTGGAAAGACAAGTCGCTTTCAAATGCTCTATAGCAAAGTATTTAATGTTAGATAAGACACACACGTATAAACCTTTTCCTCAGGTAAGCGTTTAATGTTTGGTATTAAATAAATAAGGTTTGTTTTAAGTTCAATTACTTTTTGATACTCCAAATTGTATATGTTATATGTTGTGCATATATACATTGTATTCTAATGTTACAAAACATGTAACAACGTAACGTCGTCTGGTCTATAAAGTGTATTGGTATAACAGCTGTTGCGTTGCCAGCTGTCTGCAGTGATTGGCAGCGCTGCCAGATCGAGTCCACCCGTTCGCTTGAGCATATTGAATTTTTCACATTCATAAATATGGAGAGCAACAAGTTTGACAAATTGCGGCAGCAATTTCTATGTTGCTATCCCGTTAATAAGATGGCCTGGTCGGTAAGTGGATATGGAGTATTTGTAAATTGGAAATTGTACTGAAATTATTGCCATATAGACGTTGCATCTGCCGCTGGAACTGGATGAGCAACGTGCTTTGATCGCTGCGACCTGTGGGCATCCGCTTAATCAACGGTTTCCGGTGCGCCGCAGTTACCAAGAGGCGTTCGTCAAGCGTCTGATGCATGTGCTCAAGGATCACGATGAGCTGCACGACGACATCTACGACAGCCTATGCGGCCAGCTGGCGAAAACCTCATTGGATGCAGCGCCAGCCACGTCTACATATGCCTATAAACATTATATGCTGCAGTCGGAGGAGCACATCACGCTGCGCGAGTCCAATAGCTTTGTCAGCGAGGGCACCACTGGCCTCTGCACTTGGGAGGCGGCCTTGGCACTGGCCGACTATCTGCTCGAGCATCCCAATCAGCTGCAGGGCAAAAATGTGCTGGAACTAGGAGCGGGCACTGGCTTGCTTGGTATACTACTCAAGCACAAGGCGCTGAAGCTTCCCGTGGGACAGGTGCTCGTCACAGATGGCAGCAACGCCTGCGTTAAGTTAATGCATGATAATATTTCCTTAAACTTTGATGATGCCAGCGAAGAGGCAACGCCACAATGTGCGCAGCTGCGTTGGCATGAGATCAAAGAGTTTCCCTGGTCAAAATATGCAGCGCCTGATCTCCTACTGGCCGCCGATGTTATCTACGATGATACTCAGTTCTCGTCGCTGCTAGCAGCCCTTGACTTTGTCTATGAGCTGCGCGGCAATCGATGCGAAATGCTGTTGGCCAGCACGGTGCGCAATGTGGATACCCTGCACACGTTTATGGAGCAGCTAGGTGAGTGGAGCTGATGACACATCAGTTAACATATACTATATATATATATATATAGCATATATAGATAAACTACGTTTACATAGAGACCATTTCGAGCTCATTCTCATTTGAGTACTCAGAACCTTACGGAAGAACCTAATTTATCGTAACTCTTTGAAGACATTTGAGTTGATGAGTTAATGAGTGTGTTTATATATTTGCAGAGCTACATGAATATCAGGTAACGCCCTGTGCCAATGTCTCGGCCTGTGCCAGTCATTTTTGTCGGGATCACACAGCTGCCGTACAAATCGTGTGCATTAAACGTTAAAACTAGTTTTAATTAAACAATAATACCATAAACAAAAAGAAGAAAAAAAATGTAACAAGCTGCATCACTGGCTGATGGTTGGGATGGTGCCATCGTTTAGCCAACGCATATTGAGCTGCTCGATCTGATGCTTCATGAAGATAATGCCATAGACCTCGTGCTGAATGTCCAGCAATTTGGAGCGATACGTGCGTGGCACCTTCATGCCGACGACCAGCGCCAGCAAAGACGTGATAATCATGAAGACAAAGCCCTGGGCAATCAAAGTGCTCTCGTCCTTGGCATAGAAATACGAGTTCTCCACATTGGCCACGAAATAGTAGTAGACAATGCTGGTGCTGACCAGCTTGAGCGTGTAGGAGGCAAAGATGATGCATTCGGTGAAGCGCAGATGCGTTACCTCCAACAGCACAATTTGCAAACTCGAATAGCCCAGGCCAAAGAGTACCAACAGTATCCAGAAGGTCACCTTGGAGCCGGTCGCACCGTAGATAATCATGGCTAGCATCGTGACCAGCAACAGCAGCACTTGCGTAGTCACAAAGTGCACCTTGGCAGAGTAGAAGCACAAGCAGACGATGGTCAAAGCACTGCCAGCAAATATGACCCAGAACATGGCGTCAATATGGGCCAGGTCGTTCAGACGCATCGCATCGTTCAGAGCAAACCAAAAGACTAAAAATATGAAGAGTGCATATTGGATGGCTTCCACAAAGAGTAGAAGCAGCGTCACGTGCCACTGTTGATTCTTGGTCACATAGAAGAACTGCAGCCGCTTGATCACATCCGAACGTGACTCAAAGATGCTGCCATTCGCATTGGCAATCCGTAATTCATTGTCCAGACTATTGGTAATGTCCACCGTGCCCAGCACATGCAGCACCTTGAGACCAAGCAGTACGGCCAGCATGATGATCGCTATGGACAGATAGGTGGCAGCAAAGTTCACATAGATGCCATCGATTAGTTGCTCCGTGGTCGCCACTTGACCCGTATATAGCTTCAGATTCTCCACGTACCTGCCGCCAATCAAACTAACCGCCGAGGCAATGCCCAGCAGATAGCAGCAGCAGCAGCCAGATATCATCAAAGCGCGGCTGTTCTTCGCGCTAATCGTGTGCAAAAATCCATAGCCGGCCACAAAGGTCAAACTGTGCGACACATACGACATGTAGGCGCCCACATGATCTGCGATAGACGATATAACAATTTCCAGTTTATCAGACCGTTGATGCAGCAAGGAAACAGACATAAATAATAATAGGGAGGGAGAGAGAGAGAGAGATAATAAATTAGTATAAGCAAAGCAGTTGAGCAATAATTGAAATTATATTAAGATACATTGAGCATTTCTAGCATTTCAGTAGCATGAGTTAATCTATCTTGAGTTAATCTATCTTTAATCTACATGAGTTAATCGTTAGAGTTCAAACTATAGCTATGTCTATAACTGATATACAATTTTGTTATACGCCTAAAATTGATATTTGTATTAACTAGGTAGAGGTCGCCGCTTGTGTATTGGATAGGTGTTTTTTAATATATATATTATACTTGTACCACTTATATATAGATATAGCTAACTGTAATGCTGTTTTATACTTTTTTCATTTTAATTTTGACTTGCATTTATATTTAGTGCCTTAATAGATTTTGATATTTTATTAAATGTTTTAATATTTGAAGAGACGTAATATCTTGGAATTTATGTAGTTTAAAGTTAACTGCATAAAATTGCATTATTCATTATTTCTGTTATTCTATAAGACTTATATGATAATATTCCGCAATGGTTTTATAGATAAGCCACAAATTTTTAATTGATTCTTATAGAACTGTGCTATATATTGAACTGTCAATTTGACCAGTTATCTTGAGATTAATTGTAATTCGTTTACTTTAAAAATCAATCGCCTGGAAGTTGATGGAGTAATCTTGTATAAAAGAAACATTTTCCGTACAATTTCTAATTATGAGCCCAAACTACAGGGCGAAATGCTTTAGCTGAGAAACTAACTTGCATGTAAGCAGAATACAGTAGATGTCTGCTTGTCACTAATCAAAAGTATATATATACCAACTCCAATTGGAATGCAAACTCACCAAGGCCATCGGCAAAGTAGAAACAGCTAGATATTAGATGGAAGACGCCCGCGACCATGAGGATGAGTGGCTGCCAGTAGATAATGCAGTGCTTGATGCACTTGATGGCCAGAAAGCCGACGGCACAGAGCAGCGCCAGGCAGGCGCCCAGTATCAGAGGGCCATAGTCAATGAGTTCGCCATTCAGATTCCGCTCGGCCACAAAGGAGCAGAGCGTGTAGCCGAAGATCAGTCCGCAGGGCAGAAAGCAGAGGCAAACTGCGCAGAAAAATGTCGAATTAGATTAGACGCACTTTACATAACGAATCTTCGGCCGGCTGTCACTCACCCACATAACTGGGGGCGTATTTGAAAAACTTGTGCACACAGGTACTCCATAAATTCGTCATTTTCGTGAAAATTTGTTCGAAACTCGTAAATGCCTAATGCATAGCAGTATTAATTTGATATACTAATTTGATTGTATGTCTATTAGCTTTTGTTTCTTGGCCAGCTAATGCCAGCGCAGACGTTAGAAGTGCGAGTGAGCCCAGTTAGTCAAATGTCAAATCAGCCAGCGTTGATTCTGATTAGATAAGGACACACAAAGAGGCAGCACCTGCATGATGACTAATCCCAGCTAGAATGATATAGTGGTCCCGACGTGGATAAACGGATGCCAACGTTCACTGATAACAAGGCAGTTGGGCTGTTTGCTAATTCAAATTCATGAGCATTGCGATTTGCCTAACGAGAGTGACGGAGACAGCGAGAGAGAGAGAGAGAGAGAGAGAGAGAGACGTGAAAAGCTTAGAAGCAGCTGATAATTAACTTAATCTTCTTTTTGTTATTGGCTCTAGCTTTGATAATGCCCTTAAGCACCGGCAGCTAAAAGCTCCCCCGGGAGCGTGTAAACTGTGCGCTGCTTAAGTGAAACAAAAGCCCACCTCAGCGCCCATCCACGCATCTGTGCCGGCCGCAAGTGGTGGGTGGGCGCTTGTTTAGGGGGCTTTATCAGTTTGTTTACTTTTGAGCACAAGCCATCTCAAGGGTTGTGCAGCAGAGACACAGAGAAGCAGAGAGCAAGTATAAAAATAAGAAGATTGTCGCAAACTTTAGCAGCTCTCTCACTTAGATAATGAATATTCCTATAATTAATATAACATTATAATATTGGAAATATTTACATATATATATGTATATACATATATATATATATATATATATATAAGATTTATTTGAAAAAAAAGTGAACCTGCAGAACGTGACAAAATTCCAGGAAAAAGGCAATTTTTTAGTTTGTAAGTCACGTGAAGTCAGCTGCGCGCAATTTGTAAGTCACGTGAAGTCGGCTGCGCGCAATTTGTAACTCGCGTGAAGCTGGCTGCACCTAAATTTGTCGCTGTGCCGGACGTCGATTGTGCAGGACGCTGATCTTGCAGTTTTGCAAGTGTCGCTTCCTACAGCGGCTGGCTGTGGAGTCGGTGGTCTAGGTCCAGCTACAGTTAAGTATTGTTAACTTATTTATTATCAGATAATTATCTCTTGAATTGGAAGTAAGTTAAGACCTAATCTACATAGAAATATTCACTACTTTATTGAGTTAACAGTTGAAATAGGCAACAAATATATTGATAAACTTATATGAATAATATAATGCTAATAGTCTTATGTGACGTCATGCGAGAGTTGAAAAAATGATTGCCTACCTTTTGGGGCAAGCTCAGGACTGGCTGGTATAGAGCAAAAATGCAACAAGAAATAAAAGTTATGCAGAGAAAGGCAGTGAGAGAGAAAGAGACAGCAAGACAGCAAGAGGAGAGTAAGTGATAGAGAGAGTGAAAGCTAGAGCGAGAGCTTGCGTTTGCGCTTGTGACCCCAGCAGACGACCCAGTAACAAGGACTTTGTTTCCTTTGCCCGCCTGCTATCACTTCCGGAATTTCGCTGCGTTGAACAACAACACAAAAACTTTGCATACAGCTGCTGTTGGCAAAGGTGCAAGTGAATTGGTTTGTTTCTGAATGATGGTGAGCGCATTGTAGATCCTAAACGCTGCCGCTGGGCTATAGCAAATTGAGATTTATCCTAATCATGGCACGAAAGCATATCCAAAGCGGCTAACTGGCTATCGGCTCTGTGTCTGTGTCTTTGGGTGCCGGTGTGTGTGCGTAAGCGTGCGTGTGTGTGTGTGTGTGTGTGCAGCGCAATGTATGTGAGCATCTGGTGCCATAGCTTGAATCTAAGCAGCCGCAGCCTGGCCATTGTCCTGGTGGTCTGCGTAACGCTCGTCTACTTCTCGTACAGCTTCAATGCCTGCCTCTTGGCTAGCATCAGTCGTACCCTGCAGCAGGTGAGTCTCCTAAAATTGCCATCTGTTCAGCTGGTTGCTCACTTAATTTCTAGCAGAGCAACCTACGCAATTTGCTGACGCTGCAGCAACGCAACGCAAGCAGCGAAGCAGAAGCCACCAGCAACTCCACCGCCAGTTCCAGCGCCAACTCCAACTCAAGCTCCAGCACGACGCCGATCTTGAATAGCACCGTTAGCAATGCTATTGCGAGCGTGGATGGCGCGCCCAAGTATCAAATGTTGCGCCAGCAGGGATTGCGTCCCTCGCGCCATTTGCCCGACACCTTGATCATTGGCGTGAAGAAGAGTGGGACGCGAGCTTTGCTGGAGTTCATACGCCTGCATCCGGATGTGCGTGCCGCCGGCTCCGAGGTGCACTTCTTCGACAGACACTATCAGCGTGGCCTGCGCTGGTATCGCCACCACATGCCCTACACCATCGAGGGCCAAATCACAATGGAGAAGACGCCCAGCTACTTTGTCACCAAGGAGGTGCCACAGCGCGTTTATCATATGAACACGGCCACCAAGTGAGTGCTGAGCAAGACCTAAGAAACTGTAAAAATATAGTATATATAGAGCAGGTCTGTGTCTGATATAATGTGATAGCTGAAGTTGAAAATTATGTTTTTTTTTTTCTTAACATATTTAGGTAAATTCGGATTATCAAAAATCTGTTTGAAAACATTTTTTAGCTAAAATTTTTATAGGAATTTTCATAGATTCATAGATAATTTTCAAGACTTTTAATCTAAGATATAGAATATATAGGAAACATTTAGAGCTAATGGTCAAAAAATAGATTTTTTTATATTAGATATTTTATCATGATATAAACATATAGACTTAGCCAAGTGATTAGATTCTGCAAGGATGTTGCCTGCAGTTGCCGAGCAGAAAGCTCAGGTCTCAGAGTCAAAAGTCCTTTCATAAAGAAAAGTAGCTCAGATTGCTTAATGCTTTTATAGGCACTCCCATTAAGGCCTAAATGATAGCTGATTATTATATGATTCATAGCTAAAAGTTCTCTCTTCTATCTCCATCTTATAGACTCCTAATTGTAGTCCGAGATCCGGTTACTCGTGCCATTTCGGACTATACGCAGGCGGCGAGCAAGAAGGCGGACATGAAGCGATTCGAGCAGCTGGCCTTTGTCAATGGCAGCTACTCGGTGGTGGACACCAATTGGGGTCCGGTCAAGATTGGCGTCTATGCGCGCTACTTGGAGCACTGGCTGCTGTACTTTCCGCTGTCGCAGCTGCTCTTCATTAGTGGCGAGCGCTTGATCATGGATCCGGCTTATGAGATTGGACGTGTTCAGGACTTTTTGGGTCTGAAGCGAGTGGTGACCGAGAAGCATTTCTATTTCAATGCCACCAAAGGATTTCCCTGTCTATTCAAATCGGAAGCACGCTCCACGCCCCATTGCCTGGGCAAGACCAAGGGTAGGAATCATCCGCATATCGATGCCAATGCCATTGAACGGCTCCGGGAATTTTATCGGCCGTTCAATAATAAGTTTTATCAATTGACGGGCATTAATTTTGCCTGGCCCTAAAAAGGCAAGCAGAGAGAGAGAGAGAGAGAGAGAGAGAGGGAGAGAGATGTTGTTGCTGCGGTATTAAGCAACAGACTGATATTGTTGATTGCATTTTTTATACATACCATTGTTCTTATACATAGAAGATATATACACTCAATTATATATATACATATATATAGAATTTGCATAGCTATGCAAAGATAAAGACACGTTACGTAATTCTGTGACGTCAGTGCTCAATTAAATGCAACAATGCGACAACAGACAAATCGAACAATACTCACACTATAAAACGGTTCCTTCTCTCAACGCACACACACAGACAGACACACTACTACAGCAACAAACTCCTATTATATATATATATACATATATGAACGCATAGACGAATAGAGCTTAATATGAATTCCTACAGAGTATGAGCAGCTAATTGAAGAGATAGCTACGCCTCCACATCCTAAAGTAATTAATTATTATACATAAAATATAAATGAAATGTACTGATAGCATTCGATTAGGCACAGCACACGCACACACATATTCCCTACGTTTAACTGATATGCAATTTATACATACTTATATATATACAACTACATCTCCATCTACATCTACATCAACATCAATATATATACATACATATATATATGCATAGCTCAAGATCTCAATTGCATGTTACGAAATGGCCTAGCTGAACAAATTTCAATTATTACAATTTAATAAAACTATTTCGTAAAAAATAAATCAAAATATAAATTAAGATAAAGGCTCTTATGTGCAGCTATATATGGGACCTAGAAATTAAAATTTATAGTAAAGTTTTAAGAATCTGATAAATATCAAGTTGAAAGACAGATTTACTTTTCAAATTAATAACTTAGAATTATAGAGATAAACGTTTTTCTGCTTTATATAAATTAGAGTTGTTGATAGTTGAGTCCTAGAAAGATGAGCATCTAGTTGTGTCTAGTGACCAGCTTAAAATCCAGCCACACCGCCTATTTTACGATAGTCCGAATTGATGCTAATGCTGTTGTTATCCTGGGCAATGCCACATATGACTGAGCCGCGATTTCGATAGCGTTCGCACCGATGTCCTTTGGCTTGCAGGCTGTGAACATGTGCTTGCAGCATTCCGTATTCATATTGCAGCACATTGGGCAGCATCTGGTGATGAAACCTATTAGCATCAATGGCCACCTTGATGTTCGCTTGTTGCCAGAGTATGCGAATTATCAGCGGCACAAGAGCAGATATGATTTTTGTTCCACCAGCTGCGCCGACAACCAAACGAACTTGTCCAGTGGATCGCTCTGTTACAATGACCGGACACATTGAGGACATGGGACGGGCTGCAGGTGTTATCACATTCATGCCATCTATGTATGGCAAGTCGAAATAGTTCTTGAGTTGCTTCATTGAGAAGTCAGACATGGCATTATTGAAGAGCACGCCCGTGCGTTTGCCCATGCGCCCGCTGCCAAAACTGCAAAAGGGATATGAATTTGAGCACGTCTTAAGGTGTACAAACTTTTGTACTTACTAAAAATTTATGGAGCTGGTTACTGAAACAGCATCATTGTTGTGCAACACCGAAATATGCGATGTGCCATGCTCATCACGCGTTTCTATATGCCTAGATGCACCATAATGCTCCGAGTTGTTATAGGTTTTCGCATGATCCATTAGTTTGGCAATGCTGGCGGCATACTTTGAGCTTGTTAGCTTGGTCAGCAGCTTGGTGTGCAGAGAGAACATACGTAAAATGAATGATTAAGAAACATATACATAGAAAGATATATACTTTTATATAGACTATAAACTAACTAGTAACTAAATTAACATTGTTCACAACGTTCTTGCTCATAGAATCAACAGAGACAAAAGATACCTTGATGAGAAAGAGAGAGACGTATAGAGTTGATCAATCTCTTTCATATGTATGAAATATATAGCTCACCACTTTGTCGGCTTTATCATCCAATTGCCAACGTTGAACAAATCCAAATTTTAAAGCCTCAATAATGCGATGGATTGCTAAAGCATCTAAGTCACTTCCTGCTGCGAAGTCCGCACGATAGGTATGAAGTATGTTCAATATAAGGCCAAGAATGTGACCGCTGCCTGGTGGCGGTGTCAAGTGCAAATCATACTCATCTAAAGGTACGACTATTGAATCTTTTAGCTCAGCTTGGGCGTACGTCAAGTCTGCCTTAGTTATGCCACTGCCAATGTCGTGCAAGTCAGCGTACAGTCTTGCTAGCAGCGATCCTTTATAGAAGCTGCCAGGCCCAGCTATAGACATGTGTTCATATGTATCGCACAGCTGCTTGGGTGGCTGTATGTGACTGCCAATAGGCCAGAAGTTATACGTCACAGGATCGACAAACATTTGACGTAACAATGTATCGCTTTTGATCATGTCCGCATTCAATATTAGCGCATCGTACTGATGTTTGTAGAGCGAATAGCCGCTGTGGCACAGCGAGAGCGTAGGTCGAACCAATTCCAACCAGGGCAGCTTGCCGAAACGCTCATGGGCCAAGGCATAGCCCAACAGTTCGGTGGGCACAGCAATTGACAAGCCAGATTGTTTTAACTGTTGTTCGCTCGCAAACACCGTAAAGTTGTCCGCATGCAGGGAACGTGGTGCCATCTCCCGACTTAGAATCGTATATGCTCGTCGCTCGTTGTGCATGTAAATGTTCATAATCATGCCGCCACCGAGTCCCATGCTTTGCATACCAATAAGCCCGTTGCAGAGTAAAGCGGCTAGTGCAGCATCCACTACGCTACCACCAAGTTTCAGTGTTTCGCTATAAGACGAAAACATGAACATATGTAAAGCTAAATATTCTGTAGAAGCACATACCTGGCGATCCGGCTGCAGGCATCGTTATCTGTGGCTATGCCTGCGCTCTTGAATCGGTGCAGCGGAGAGCTGGAGGCCGGCAACGGCTCCTCAGGATCTGGCGGAGTTCTTCCTGCATTTCGTTTGCCTGTCATAATATTTTTTGAAATATTTTAATATTCTTCTTCAGTTCTTAACACTTACCGCTCTTTGCCGCAGGACTATATGCATATATTGCGATTAGGACGCAAACTAAAGCTAAGCTAAGCACAGTTCGATTAAAAATCAATTGAAAGTGCATAGCGCTTCAGTTTTCTCATACTTTTATCCACATTTTATTGCAATTTGTTGCATTTTGTATTTGTTTTCCGCTCTACCAACTCAAAATGGAAATAAACACAGCTAACAATCGACTTATCGATATTTGGAGTTACTAATTGGAATACTCTTATGCGATATTTGTGCCAAAAAGTACTCGCTATATAAATAATCGATGCTTTTGGCGGTATTTTGTGGAATTTAAATTAAATTAAAATAAATGCAAAGAGAATTGACAATTTGTTGAAATATTGAAACAAAATAATTTTATTCCGAAGAATTTATAATTATATTTTATTTGAATTGTTTAAAATGAATGCAATTAATTTGAGTTGGGAAATAAATAATATATTGAAATATTGCTAAGAGTTTATTTATATTGGAACATTTATATTTGCCATTATAAGGGACATAAATTGTTAGGCCTAAGGCCATATATACAATGTTTGTATATATATATTTTTTTTTGTGTATAATTTCCTTAAATGCCAATGCATTCAATTGAAATTCTTTTAAATTAAAAACAGAAAATTATATTACATATCAAAGTATAGTTAACTTTATGTGCATTTACTGTTGAATACCTGTTATGACTGGTCGAATTGGATAGTTGGTTACATAATGTGAAAACACTTGATGCATTATGTTCATGCTCCATAGTTGAGTTGTACTATTTAAATATAAATATATTCAAAAATGAATACCATCTCTGCATAAGTAGAAGAGAATAGAATAGAGGTCAATCCACTTTGTTGCCTGCATTGCAGCCGTAAGAGTAACAGTAAAATTCTGCATGCCTCAACATCTCTTCGGAAAGAACTTCTACATAAATATATTTATAAATATATATAATTGAAGTCGTGACGATATTAAATGCTGTCAGTTGGCAGAGACTTAATAAATAAAAGTTATGGCACCTTTTGTAATTGGATTTTCTTTGGTCACCAGCCTTGCCAGCGTTTCCCATATACATAAGAATTGTAATTGATTTGTGCATCCGCTTGCCGTAGAGCAAATCTGCAAAATATTCACATTACATATGTATGTGATTGTATTTAAGTACATACAAATCAACACGAATGTGAATGAAAATTTAAAAGCCATAAATCTTGCGTTTTTATATCGCACTAGCGTGGCAATCAAATTAACTGAACAGAAGAGCTCCATCAAACAGGAAGAGACGGTCCGGTTCGTTGATCGTTTGGCTCATCTGGGATTGCAATGGATGAATGGATCTCTCGCACTCTTTCTCCCACTGTCTCATTCTGTGCATGTGTGTGATGATTGGAATTGGTTGGCATCTCGTCTGCCAGCATGGCTAACTAATTCCAGCACGCGTCTCAAACAACTCGCATGTATGACGAAATGTACACGCCAAATGCCTCTATCATGGCACCTGTCAGACGTCAGCGACGGCTTAACAGCTTAAATGACTCAACCGGCAATGCTCAGATAGAGAGAGAGAGAGAGAGGGAGAGTAGGAGAGGAAGCAGGCGGTAGCTGCTGCTCCAGATTGTCAGCCTCGTCAACACCTTGGCAGCGACAACAACTCAACCCAACATAATTTGCCTCAAGTATTTGTATGTGATGTAGTATTTATTTTTAATAACACTGTTCAGCAAAATCATTGAAAAAAATTGATAAATAGGCTGGGTATGCGCATGGGAAGGTGGCTATATGCATGTGGAGCCTCGACTTTCGAAACCCTTTGGTACTTTTAGAATTACAATTACAAGTTTTGTTATAATCCGTTTTCCTCTCTATGTTTTCTTGTATCTCCTATTGTCTCCCTCTATCTCGCTGTCTCTTATTCTCTTCTGGCTCTTTCTTATTCTCGTTCTCAGTCTCTGTCTCTCTCTGTATGTGTCTGTGTCTCTGCGTCTCTGTCTCTCTATCTTCCTCTGTCTATCTCTTTTCTGTCTCACTCTTCTCTCCTCTATCTCTCTCTCTCCTCTCTCTCTTCTCTCTCTCTCTCTCTCTTCTCTCTCGCTCTCATCTCTCTGTCTCTCTCTTCTCTCTCGCTCTCATCTCTCTCTCTCTCTCTTCTCTCTCTCTCTCTCTTCTCTCTTCTCTCTTTCTTCTTTCTCTCTCTCCGCCACCTCCTCATTGCTCCTCTTTCTTCTACAACCCCTAGGACAGCCTATCGCATCTCTTCATATGCTCGTCCCATAGATATGTCGTGTGTTGGACAGTGTTGTGAACAAACGTTGACAATGTTGCCGGTGATGTGCAGACGGCAGGTGCAAACAGGCGCATTGCTGGAATTGCCTTTTAATTGTCTTTGGCTGCTTTGATGTTTGCTGTTGAGTCCATGGCATAAAAAGTTGATGCAGTTAATCTGGGCAGGCTTAGCGGGCGCTTTTCTAGCGACTGTCATCGATTGCATCTCGAAGCAGGCACGCTCCACGACACTCGTCGAGTGTTTCCAAAAAAGAAAAAAAAATAAATAAGAGTCGAAGTAGAAGTAGTGCATGTTATGCTAAGAGTGTGGAGCTCCTATTCGTGCTGCTCGAGCAAGTGAAAATATTTGGTTTTTCGCGCGTAGATCCCGATCCGCTGCCGCTGCTGCTGCTGCTGCTGCTGACATGTTGCTGTTGAGTTTTATTTTTAAGGGACGGGCCCACCATTCCACAACAATTGCGACGCATTTGCGGCTGCTGTTGTTGCTCTATATTTATAGACCTGGCCCTGAGGCCGTTTTCACAGTTGGCTTCATTCAATGGGCCTGCGGCTCACGTCCAGCGGCAGCGACTCCCTGATCTTTTGCATGTGTCGACGCCCCTTCGTTTGTTCCATTTAATGTGCCCGCTGTTAGTCGGAATAGTTGCCTCTACTTGTACAACATATTTTACTTTAATTGCGTTTAATTTGAAAATCACAAGCACTTGGCTCTCTCTCCCTCTCTCTCTCTCTCTCTCCATCTATCTCTGTCTCGCTCGTTGATTGTCTGCGCATATTGATGTCTTGCTGATTAGTTCAGCGGTTCAAGCGAAAATATTTTAGAATGTTTACCACGGCTCTGTCAATCGCAAATAACATTCGAGTTTACAAGCCTCAGACATAAATCAGCTGGCAAGCGTAATGCCAAGAATCAAACCAGATATATATATATATATATATATATATATATATATCTATATATACTTTTATTTGTATCACCTGAAAGCAAATTCATTTGATCCTATGCATTCTTCAGGCAAATCTGTTTCTTTTTAGATAAATTTATTTTTTCCTCAAAAATAGTTTGATTTAGACATTTGATGTGAGCTCCAATTAAAGATTAAAGTCAACTTTTTTTTACAAATCTAGAAACTCAAAGTTAAATTCAGAACAAAAAAGCTTAAGTTTATATAAGTGCGCCCACTTTGGGCGTGGCAAATGGCCAACTATAAGATCTTCAATACGATATTTATGATAATCTTTGAGGCGCTTTGGAAGCTAAAAGAGAGGGGAAGACTATGATAGATTGGAAACAACCTGATAGCTAGAGTCTCTATATGTCTCTCCCTATATCTATATATATATATGTATTTTAAATTTTGTCTATGCCTTATTTTTGTTTTATTTTCCATCTAGTTTCCCTTGGCAGCATGATCAAATTGACCTAAGGCTCGCCAGTAGTCGAGTGTAGTCATTAGTTAATATACGATCTTAGGTAGAACAGCTCCAGTAAATTACAAATATCGAGCGAATATTTAATTGAGTCCAAATTTATAATAAATTTTGTGCCATTTTTAGTGCTGAACACGCATAAAAGTAATTGAGCCGTAGCAAAAGATGCTTCGGCTTAGGCGACGATTGCGCTTCTTGGAGGTGGCGATGCGAAAGCAATTGCTCAGGCAATATGTGATTCCCGTCATGTTGCCCATCGATGTCGTTTTCAGCAAGGATGCGGGTGACAAGAAGAAAGAGTTAAGCAAGAGCGGCGAGCCGAGTAAGCCCAGCGAGCCCAACAAGCCCAGTGAGTCTAGCAAGGCCGGCAAGCCTAGTGCGCCGGGCAAGCCCAATGCGCCCAGCGAACCGAGCAAACCCAGCAAACCTGGCGAGCCCAGCAAGCCCATCGAGGCCAAAAAGGATGGCGGTAAACAAGGCGACAAACCTCCAGCAGCGCCAAAGCCGGCGGAGAAGAAGTCGACGCAGCCGCGCATTAAGACCTTTGACATATATCGCTGGCATCCCGGCGGCAAGCCCAAAATACAAAAATACCAGTTAGACTTGAACAAGTGCGGCAGCATGGTCCTGGACGCACTTATCAAGATTAAAAACGAGATGGACGGCACGCTCACGTTTCGTCGGTCGTGCCGGGAGGGCATCTGCGGCTCCTGTGCCATGAACATCGATGGCATCAACACGCTGGCCTGCATCCAGCCGATCGAGAGTAACTTAGGCAAGCCGTGCAAGATCTATCCGCTGCCGCATCTGTATGTGCTGCGCGATCTGGTGCCAGATCTAACGCGCTTTTATGATCAGTATCGCCAAATAGAGCCCTGGCTGCAGCGCAAGGATGCAAACAGGAAGATCGGGGAGAAGCAGTATCTGCAAGCGGTCGAGGATCGCACTCTGTTGGATGGACTATACGAGTGCATATTGTGCGCCTGCTGCCAGACCGCCTGCCCGTCCTATTGGTGGAACAGCGATAAGTACTTGGGCCCGGCCATCCTCATGCAGGCCTTTCGCTGGGTCATCGATTCGCGTGACGAGGCGACCGAAAAGCGTTTGAACTACCTATCGGATCCTTGGAAATTGTATCGCTGCCACACCATACTCAACTGCACCAACACGTGCCCCAAGAACCTGAACCCAGCCAAGGCGATCATCCAACTCAAGCAGATGCTGGTCGGCATGAAGAAAAAAGCCAAGGCGAAGCTATGACAGATAAATTGGCTCAGAGCCCTACGTGAACATACCAAAATTTCTAATTTTACATTTCTTCTCAAAATGACATGTAATCCAGTCGAATGTGAATGTCTTTTAATTTTTTTAAGATGAAGATAATGACGAATATAGTGTTTAAACATAATATATAATAAATATATAAGATATAAAATATAAGAGATGAGATATAAGATATAAGATATAAGATATAAGATATAAGATATAAGATATAAGATATAAGATATAAGATATAAGATATAAGATATAAGATATAAGATATAAGATATAAGATATAAGATATAAGATATAAGATATAAGATATGAGATATGAGATATGAGATATGAGATATGAGATATGAGATATGAGATATGAGATATGAGATATGAGATATAAGATATAAGATATAAGATATAAGATATGAGATATGAGATATATATATATATATATAGATATAAGAGATGAGAGATGAGAGATATATAAGATTAGATAAGATAAGATAAATATAAGATAAAAGATTATACAGGGTGTCTTTCAGTCCACAGTGCCCATTGCATGATTGTGAATTATTCAGTCACACGAAATTACTCAATTAGCTAATGCGGCTTGAGTTGTTCTCGCGCTCTACTGAATCTATTTTCGCCGCAATTAATCAAGGCGCATATTCTGTAGAATATTCATAAATGAAATTTCCATAAAGTGCTCTCAATCCAATGCATTCATTCACAGTAAAGCTCTGCCTGAGATTTCCTCTGCGTGAATCATGTCTGTGGGTTGATCTTGAATTTGCGTTGCGGAACTTTTACACAATGTACCAGATATATATGTATATATCTAAACGTTACAGTTGACCAACTTTGTTACTGCTGCTTGCTAAAAGCTTTTCCACCTTTCCTCTCTCTCTCTCTCTCTCTCTTTCGTTCCCTCATAGACATTTGCTTTTTCATTAGCGAGCAAAATAAATATATTTCTAAAATACTCGTTTCAAAATATTTACATATGCGTAAGTGGGCGGCTCTCTTGTGCCGCTCTCCCTCGCCATCTGCCTCGCTCTCTCTCTTTCTCTCTGTCCCTCTCTCTATAGGGTCCATCAGCGTCACCACGTGCAGTCAGCAAAGCCAAAGCGCGTCGGCAAAAAGCTCTTCGCCTACGTCACCGACGCTCGGACGGAGGTGGCCCGAACGGAGCTTTCGGACGCCTACAAAAACCAACCCCAAAGCGAAAGCCGCTTTGCAAATCAGTCGCAAAAAGTCCGTCGCCAGAACGCAAAAAATAAATAAAACCGAGAACTGGGCGCTGCTAAAACAGAAGAATTCAAGAGTAAAACACAGCTATATATATTTATATAGATAGATATATATATATATACATATATATATAAATAAGAAAATAAATTGAAATCAAAAGAATAATATATTTATTGAGAATTCCATACAATTGAGCTGTTCATACACACACATATATATATATATAATTAATAAATATATATGTATATATATATATATATCTGTGTATATATATAAGAGTCGGAGACGTGTGTCTTAGTAAAGGTGCGTTCTGGTCCATATTTCGTCTTTATACAATTTTTTTCGAGTGTGTGCATCGAATAGATTTGTTGTCATTCGACGCCAGTGCAGACTGTTGCTGTTGCTGTTGCTGTTAACGATTATCATCTATTATTTATATTTACTCAACACCTGAACACAAACAAACAGCGAAGGTAGCCACAGCAACGCGTAGCGGGAGCAACGAACGAAGCGCCGACCAGGAAACAGGACCAAGAGCAGCGGCAGCAGGCAACGAGGCAGCTAACAAGGAGCCAAACACACGCACACACCCAGCCAGTCACACATCCACACCCACACCCACACACACACCCACACACACACAGCAATTTATTAAGATGTCATGGAGATATGCGGTAAGTGGCTCAAAGCAAAATTGAAAAAGTCAAGTGCAACCTGTTCCCAAATCCCTTACTCCGTGCACTAGGCACAACTCTGGCCATGCTGAGGCTGCTGGATGCTGGGCGCTGCTGTGTCAGCATCAGCGTCAACTGCAGAATGACCTTGAGCGCATATGCATGTGGCTGACCCAATTTGGAGGCTGTGTTAGTTGCAAAGGCAAAGGCCATTTCCACATAACCGTTGCCCACTTCACCTGTACACACATGTGTGTGTGTGTGTGTGTGTGTGTGTGTGAGTGTGTGTTTGTGTGTCATATTCCAGCAGCCACCTTGTGTATGCAGAGCCTTGGCACACGCCCAGGCCATCAAACATGCCACGCCACCCTTTGGCCCTTTCAGCTCAGCAAGGCCTCTCAAATGCGAATGCAAATCCAAAGTTCAAGTGCCTTTAGCACAATGCTTGACACACACACACACACGCGCACACACACATATACACACATATATATTAGATATATACAACAATCGCAATTATTTGCAGTTAATGCAAACATTTCCGTTGCATTGGGCGCGTAATTTGAAACTTGCCAAAGTTTTCATTTCTTATTTGTTGATAAGCTCTGCGAGCATTTGTTTATGCTATTTGTATTATGTGCGCAGCTGTACTATTTATTTATATACATTCTCAGCTGGCTCAAGTTTCTATGAAGCTTCGATCTTAGCTCAAGCTGCAGATCACAGCGCATTGGCTTTCATATGATGCAGTATTTTTGCAGTATTTTAGAAATACCCAAGTGGCTTTTAGCTTTGTTTATAGCCCTTAGAATCTTCGTTCTCATAGCGAATGTTTCCTACTTAAGTTAAGTTAATCTACTTATTCGCCTTATATTGTAAGCTCAATTTTGTCTGACTCAGTCTTAGTCTTAATTAGTCAGCGATAGCAAAGAGATTGGTGCCAAGTCCATAAAGCAGGCTCTATAGTTGAGCAGATCTAGAGCTAACAGCTAGTCTGTCCGTTCGTCCATCTTCATTTAAATAAACACGCTTAACTCGCACCCTACAGGACCTACAGCCACTTAGAAGTCCTTCAATGGGATCCTTTTAGCTTGATTGTATTAAGAATCATTGATCACTCGTTCCATGATCAGAAAACCGATTCAAGTCTATACAAAGCTCAAGCTTTTTGTCAGCTAAAGCAACTGTAATTTTTAATTAGATTCGCCCAAAGTATTCCACTCGCTGCCTACCCAAGACGGTCAAGCTATGCCCTAGTCGGGCAGTCAGGGCATCACAAAGTCGATCAGCGTTTTAGCTTGGCGTTAGCCTAGTATTCTAAATAGCCCAAGTATGTATATTTACAAGCCTCTGTATAAACACTTAGATATATATGTATAAATTCTTGAAAATTGTTGTTATGCCAAATCACTTTTACCTCAAGCCAATCTCAACTTCTCTGTGTGTGGCTGAATGTGGGGCAATGTGTTATTCAATTGCACTGCCAATTTTGACACGCTTGCCACGGCTTGGATGGGCCTCGGCTGCAGTGCGGCTATTGCATTTGTGGACTGACCCAAAAAGGAAAAAACGGATATATGTAATAGGCTTTTGGGGCTAAGCCTAAGCAGATTACTCATACGTCGCGTGGGCCAATTAACTTAATTACCAACGAAAATTGCTGTAAAAAAGAAGCAGAAAGCCTCTATTACTAGAGGGGTGGGCTGAGGGAGTGGGTGGGCACAACGACGAGGCTAATCCAGCGTGAATCAAACATATTGCCGTCGACGTCGACTTGGAGTCGCAGCTATTGAACTTGAAAACAGAAGAGCCAGTTGAATGCAAAATGAATTCAATTGACAGCGACAACAGACGGCGCAGAATTTGCGTTTCGCTGGCCAGCGAAGCGAACGAAGATTTCCCCAACCGCCCAGCGCCCCACCCATTACAGGGGCGTGCGTTTAATTGGGCAGCCGCTGGCTGCTTCCGTGTAATGTGCATTAAAAAGGCATCTAAAACACATGGAAAAAATGTGGAAAAAATACCATTATATATAAATATATATGTATATATATATATATGTGTGTGTATGTGTGTAAAGCCCAATCGCTTTGGCTGAAATGTCAATGTCACTGCTGCTTGTCAATGCTGTTGTTGAGTTGGCTTGGTTCAGTGTCAGGCGCTGAGCGCGCTAATTGAACGATCGATAGAGCGTTGTACATCTCCGGCCTGCCAGTGTGTTCTATATATACACAGATATATAAATATATATATATATATACACACATATATCTGCCTATATATGGCCTATATATAGACACTTAACAATCATGTGGGCGCTCAATGTGGGCGTGTAGCATCGCCATCGCCAACGGTCGTCGATTGGCAGCTGTTGCGCCTCATTGAGCAAAAGCGAAAGGCAAACATGCCGAGCGGCCACTTGAAAGCGAATTGTTGTCGCTATTGTTATTGCCCAAGCCATTGTCTAATACAAATAATAATAATACTGCTAACAACAAGAAGAGAAAAACAATTATCACCAAAAATGTAATCAGTTAGCTAGCCACACACACTCGGCGACAGCTCGAAAAGGTAATTCGTATTCATTCAAGGCTCTGCAAGTATTTTCCCAAGCTACGGCCATAGTACTCATTGTATTCAAAGTACTCGAAGCAGTCAAACGGTCTGAAAGATCATCTCATCTGTGTATGTTGTCTGTCAGCGACTCAAATTGTCTCTTTGGAGTATTCTAAAGTAGCTCGAGTATTCGAAGCATTCAAATAGAGATGTGCACTCGAGTGTTTTGACATTCAAAGTACTCAGAGTACTCTAATCATAGAAATACTTCAGATGTTCCTATGTTTATAGTATTCAAATCGACTTGAGCTCAACATTTCAAGCTGAATCAAAGAAGTCTGAATTGAAGTTTATATTTTTGCAAAATTAATTGACAGTCTGAAGTAAGGAAAAGTTTTATATTTATATTTAAAAAATAACATACAATATATATTTATATATTTCATTTCAAAATGATTTTAGAGTTTTCTATTTTTATTTAAATTTTTTTTGACATTTTTAAAAATATTTTTGTTTTTTTTTTTATTTTATATATATCTTTTTTTTTTATCTATTACCTTATTTTTTTATTTACTATCAGTATATAATATTAAAAAAATACTCACAAAGCCGAAGTCAAATTGATTTGCAGTTATTCTTATATATTAACTTTATTCATATTAAATATATTTCCAACCTCTATTTTCTTTCTTAAAACTTTCAAACTGCCCTCGCTTACAATATTTTATTGACGTAACAAATCCATCAAACATATAGAAAAATCAAGGAAACAATAGCTTAACTATCGCAGACAGTTCGTTGGCTCAACTCACGTTCGTGTCACGTGCTCATCTCTAGCTTCAGCCATTCAATCAGTTCACGTCACAAGCTTCGAACGCGCCTCGTTTTGGGCGCCCTATTGGCCTTGATCAATGCATTTAATGCATAGATTGTTTAACAACAACAACAATAACTTGCTGAACAATAAATAGACAATTTGATGAGCTGTCTACCAGTTGCCTCCACACACCCGCTGCCCCGCTGCCTCGCTCGCCACTGCCCAACGCGCACACCTTAAACGGCAAATTAAAAACTACTGCGCATTAAATTTGCACAATTTTCATTAGGTTTTTCACATTTTTCGAGTCGCTGACTCATTGGGCAGGCGAGCGACAAAATTTTTATAGCTGCCAACTTTCGGCTGATTTCCTTGCCATCGCACGTGATGTCGCTTGACGCGGCGCATTAACAAATCTCTCAGTCGAGATATATTTAATAATTTGCGATGCCTTTTGTTTATTTATTTATTTATTACCTTTGGCGCGTCTTTTGACGGCCTGTTTAATCAATAAATTTGTCTGCAAGCTTTGCATGTCAATGCATTCTCGATTGTCCTTTTCCTGCCTGCGTCAACCATGCCGCTGCACTCTGGGCCAAATTGTGAATGCTTGCGGTGGAAATTGTTATATATATGTGTTAGCCATGCTGCCAAGAGCTTGGCTCACTGAAACATGTAACTAGCCCACTGTACTATCTCTCTAGTCTCTAAACTTTTTCGTCTTCCTCTCCCTCTCTCTCTCTCTCTCTCTCTGGGTCTCTCTCACTCACTCCTCTCGTTTCTCATTTATTAGGCCAATGCAATTTACCCATAGCTAAATATTTTCAGCATGCCAAGCGATTTCTCACACTTATTCAAGAATTTCGAATAATCATTTTTGAGAATTTCCCACTTTGTGTGAAATAAGGCCAACAGTAAATGAGATCAACAAATTATATTTATGTATATACAAATTCTTTATAAGTGCTAAGTAGTTTTTAAAGTGCAGGAATACATATTTATTTATATGTATATATATATATATATATGTATATAATTGAACATTTATTCAAATTTTTCAAATTTTATTTGAACAAGAATTAGTAATCTTGTCTCGCTTGAATGATTTGCATATAAATTGTAAATAATATAAAATATATATATATATGATATAGGCAATATTGCTCCAATTGCTACAACTTCTTTACATAAAGCGTTTCTATTGAACTGCATCAAATTTTATTCAAAAATCTTTTCTGCATTAAAATATTTTCTTTTTGTTTTTATATTGGGGATAACATCTACTTTCTTCCCTATTTAGTTTCACACATTTATCATTAGCTATAATTATAATTAACACTAGACTATAACTATAACTAGACTCGGTAATTGTCTTATTTAGCCAATGCACAAATTCTAAAACTGTTTTTAAAGCTCTCGAATCTATGCTTAGATCTTACTAAAATGTTGACTGGAAATACTTTTAGGATCGGTGGAAACTTAACTGATTTTTATAATATTTTTTCAAAATTCATTTATCTTTGCTCTTAAATTTTATGGCAAATTTCTTAAAGCACCTAATTCGGTAAAAGCTGTAATATGCTTGATAGGAGGCTGCGTAAACAAATTGAAAATTTCAGCTTCTATAGTACTCGAGTTATGCTTATGAAAGCGATTTGAAGGGATGTTACGTAGCTTGGAACCGCCTACTATATCGCTCAAGCGAATGGCTGGGGCATTACTTTTTATGCTCAAACAAGTAGCTTGGCTAAACGATAGCCCAAAGGACCTCTTCGTTAGCTGAGCTTTCAGTGTAAACTCAGAGATGTTGCTGCTCCATGAAATTGTCTTGAATTGATGTGGCCTGGTGGCTGGTGTCAGGTGTTGGCCGGTCGTTGCTGCAGGCAGGCCAGGCAAGCCTATGCGACACCAACCAACCTCTAGAGAGCGTTGCAACAGTTTGCATTGCAGTTGAGCAAGTGGACAACGCTTGACCCGACCTGACACACTTTCTGCCTGATGGGATGGGAAGGGTTCGGTGTCAGAACGATGCCAGACTTGGGTTAAATGCTAGCCCACATCAATATGGCGGCGACCCACTGACTAATAGATGCAACAATGTGGCCATGCACGTGTCTCTTGTTGTTTTATCTCTATCTGCGACAGCAATCAACTATGCCACACACACACATGCACACACAGGTGTGTCTATTAAAAGCGTCGAGAGACGAACGACACTGGGCTCGCGGCCCAGTGCCAATAAAAGCGAACAGAAAATACGAAAATGAAATTCTAAATATACGTGATTAGATTGAGCAAATCACAAAGTTGATTGGGTTTCTATTTGCCTTTTAATCACTGACTAAGTCCAGCTAATTGCTGTGGCATGCGGGCAGCCAAGCACTCGGCCCCGTGACTCATGGCGACACAGAACACAGAGCACAGAAATCAAATCAATTTGTGAAGCACAATTTTCAGATTTTTCATAATATTTCCAAGCGTACGAAAGAATGTGTCGAAAGCGTTCATTGCTGTGCGTTCTCTGTATTTATAGACTTTATATATATTGCATATATCTTGTTGTTTGTGTTTAGCGGAACAAGGTCAAGGCGTCGGCAGTGGCCAAAAAGCAAAGCCAACGGCAATGGCAACGCCAACGCCAACGCCAACGCCAACGCCCCTTTGCACACCTGAAGGCAAGGAATGCTTTGGTTCTCTCTCATCTTCCTGTCCGCAGCAGCCTCCGCACTCAGCCACCTGCAATTTGGCCTCAGACAAACATTTTCTATCTATACTATATCATCCATTCGAAACTGATTTAAATTTAGCTATTACTAGACAACGATGTGGGCTATACGTACTTCGATATTCGTCACATTGAATACGTTCAAAAGCGTCACAAATTTCAGCTTGTTTTCTGGCCATTGCATCTAATTATAGCTATAAATTATAGAGTTTTCGCTCTATTCGTAATGCTCATTGATCAAGATTAATGTATTTTGCTAAATTTAGCAACGCTTGTCAGTTTTCTTCTAGCTTTATCGCTGTATCAAATTTGAAATCCGTTTATAATATGATTTACCATCAGCGTTTGAAGTGAGCTTACTTAACCACTTATCTGAGCTGATCAAATTATAATTTTATGCAATATCTTCTTACTAAATTAAGCAAAATATTTTGTTTTTAAGTCTTTTGTAGACAAAAAAATACAAATTTTAATTTTCGATAAAATATAAATAGTGTTTATAATATTAAGAGTAAAAATGTCTTACTTAAGATGTCCAAACATTTTCTTATATATAAAGCTTTTCCCCAACACTATTATTTCTATATATTACAAATTTTTTTAGAGCTTAAGAAATAACAAAAAAATTTAGAAATTCAACCTTTAGATAAACCGTAAAAAAATACCTTTAGAAGCTTATTAGTGATAAAAGAAAAATGTTAATTGCTCTGTCAACTTTTTCTTACCAAATTAAGCGTTGTTCCAACAACGTTATCCAACACTATTGTTCTATTTTGTCATAGTGCAGTATTGTACCATATTCTATTATGTATTCAAGTTTTTTCCATACTATATATAACATATGATTTCCCAACTATCATACAATTTCCAACACTATTACGTTTTTTATTTTATAACACATCGTTTATCAACACTACTGTGACTATTCAATTTCTATAATTCATTGTTAAATAGTATAAGATATCCAAATGTTTACGTTTCTTAGGTTGTCCCATACTCTAGATATATTTCCTCAAATATCATACGTTTTCCAACACTTCTATTTATATTTTGCTTATATAATTCATGATAGACCTAATCAATCTATGACAATAAGATATGCAAATGTTGTTCTTTTATCTAAACTTCAACTATTTTACGTTTATCAACACTACTTGGATTATATTTTCCTATAATTCTTTGCAGTCGCATATTTACTCAACTTACACTATTTAAGATATCCAAATATTTTTGCTTCTTAGGTTAACCCATAATCTATATATGTTACCTTAACTATTATGCGTTTATCAACACTGTTTTGATTATATTTTTCATTTGTCCTCTTGATCTTCATGAACTGTTTTGCAGCTACTCACCGACAGATACAGCAGCAGCATTGGCGATAGATATAGTCCGCACTATTATCAGGTTTGTTTTTGCCTGCGATCCAAAGCGCAAAGCATGCTGTCCAGTGTTGTGAAATGTCGTTCGTTGTGTGTGTTTGTGTGTGCAACACACTTGCTTTGGCCAACTAAACAATTCCCATTAAGATGCTTGCAACTACATTTTGCCAATCAAAAAACAAAATATATATATAAATTTATGTATATATATAAATATAAAGACAGAGGCCTTGGCCAAATCTAACTTAAGATAAATATTCCATAGACTCATAGCTTTTGCTGTGCTGGCCATAAATCTTCTAGCTGAACATACAAAATGTTCAGATTGTGTATAAATAAGCGTCTAAGATATGCAAATGTATCTATTAAAGAAATATATATATACATATATATAAAGATTGTTGTGTCGTGTCATGTCGTGTATATATATGCTTGTGTGTTTGTGTGTGTGCCAGAGATCAGTCACAATAGATCAAAATCCAACAGAAAAGTGAAAGAACTTTTGCTCTGATGATTTTCGCTTTTGCTTTCGGTTTTTGTGTTCTGCTCAGGGTCGAATGCCGCGACAAAAAGTAAAAGTTTTCAACCTCCCTTCTCCCACTCTCTTTCTCTCTCTCTCTCTTGGTCGCTTCTCTAGCTGTCACTAACAGTTCCTGGCCCGCCTGCTGCCCACCCGCAAGTCTTGTGGGCGCCTTGCTGTCGCTGATTTCATTTGAATATGTTATGACAAAGCAGACAACCGATAAGCAAAACTAAAAAAATATATAAAATATATATATAAATAAATGGGAGAAAAGAGGCAAAAAGTTTCACATTCACTTTTCCCATTGACTTTGGCGACTGTCCCTGAAATTGACAAACGACGAGGACGAGGCGCTTGAAGCTGGCACGACCTTCGCCTCTGCCATCAATTTGCTTGGCCAAGCTTTTGCCCCTGCTGCCGCACAAAGGACCTGGCCTAGCCTGAACTTGATGCCCATAAATAAACTCCGCTGCCAAAACCACAAAATTTACATATGGAAATAAATAAACTACAGATTCCAGATGAGCACAAATTATGCCTATCATACTCCATCATGCCTGAGCTCTTCCGACTTAATGTGCATGGCATGCATGCTGATATAACAGTACTTAGAGTTCATACTAGAGCTATAGACTAAGAAAGCCCCAATCAGCTTACAGCTTAGCCCATATAATTAAGATGATATGTATTTTTAGGTAGCTTTTCTCATATTCTTAGTCACATTATTTATAATTTTTAAATATTTTTTTAATTTTTTTAAAAATTATAAATAATTATTAAAGACATTGATGCGCTTATGAAATAATTTCTATAGTCTCCTCGTTCAGCTATTATGGGTGCAAGCTTTAAATTTAATTTTTAATTTGTTTTTATACCAATTAAAATTTTTAAATATTTTCATTTTTGAGAAACGTATTTAAAATGAACTTCATATATAAGGCAGACATGAAACTTTATGAACTTACATTTTTCGGATATATAGATCTATATAGTGCACATTCTAAATCTGGAGCTGCGCTTTATCTTTAACATATCCTAACGATTGAGATTGAGTTCGGCTTAATCTAACCCAACTTCGCATGTTAACTAATGCCAGCCGATGCTCAGCTGATTTGAGTTTAATCAAATGCTTTGCTTGCAGTCGCCCAGCCGCCTGGAAACCTCGGAACAGACGACGGGTCGCCAGCTACAGCGCGTGCTGCACTACTCGATGGCGCCCTGCCGGACGCTGCCTGGCCTGCGACGTGCCGAGTGCGCCATACACGATGTTGACTGTGATGAAGTCTATCCGGGCATTTACATAGGCGATGCGTATGTCTCCCTCTCTCTCTCTCTCTCTCTCTCTTAGTCCTTATCTCTTTTAATACTATCTCCCTCTCTTGTTCTGTTTAGCGCGGCGGCCAAGAACAAAACCTATTTGCGTATGGCCGGCATTACGCACGTGCTGAACGCTGCGGAGGGCTGTCGCTATGGCCAGGTGGATACTGGACACAGTTACTATCGGGATATGCCCAGCATTAGGTGAGTCTGCAACTGGCAACTGGCAATGGGGCGCACAGATCATGCCACAGTTCCATATATCAATTTATCGATTTTGCCATTTTGGTTTATCACTTTCTAAATTATAACAAAACAAAAAAAAAACGAAATTTCTTTTTCTCTTTTTATTTATTCCACCGCACACTTACTTTGTTTATATGTATGCATACATCTTTGTTCATACATACACACACGCGCACACACACGCACACACGCACAATCATCTTTCATCTTTCACTCTGTGTGGTCCATTGTTGTTGTTGTTGTTGTTGTTGTTGTTGTTGCTGTTGCTGTGTGTCCAGACGTCAACATAAGGATTGCTTTTTTAGATATATGGGCTTCCCCATGATCGATGCGCCAACGACAGATATATCCCGTTACTTCTATGTGGCAGCCAAATTCATAGACAGCGCCATCAGCAGCGGCGGTGAGTAGCGAAACTAAGCCCAATATACATTGAAGTAAGCCTTCTTCTCTCTCTCTCTCACACACATACACTATTTAGGCAAGATCCTGGTGCACTGCCTGGTGGGCATGTCACGCTCGGCCACCTGCGTGCTGGCCTATCTCATGATCTGCCGCAAAATGTCCGCCGTAGACGCGATACGCACGGTGCGCATGCGCCGTGAAATACGACCAAATGATGGCTTCCTGCAGCAGCTGGCCGATCTCGACATGGAGCTGAAACGCAAAAATCTTTATCCCTACTAAGGCTATAACAAAAACCCCAACACAACCAAAGATATATATATCTATATACCCATACACATAGTATATATATGTATGTATACTATGCTAGGCTAAGGCAAACAGAATGCTGATGATTGGCTGAAATTAATGAATTGTTGTATTACTAAGAGTTATAAAAACACACACACAAATACACATTGGCAACGTTTATACGATGATTGAAATATATATATATATATATATATATATATATATATATATATATATATATATATATATATGTATGTGTACATGTATTCAATTATTGAATATGGCTGCAAAGCCTAAATGTATGCTAAACAGTTATATACTCACACACACTCACACCTAAACACACACACACACATAAGTGCTACGTTTACACGTTGAGCCGAAATCATGATATGAATTGTGATTATAAATCTGAATAAAAAGTTGTTTTGCCTTTGGCAATTTTAAGATTTTGCCACAGTTCCAATATGGGTGTAATACACATACACACACTCACACACTCACACACACACAAACAAGCGTTGTTCTAAAATATTTATAAAGATTAAAAGCTAACGACTTAATGGTAACTTGGTCTTCTGATATATAAAAAAAGCTGTTGAAAACAAATTGTATAATCGTGACATATATACCTAGATATATCTTACTTCCATTTAGTGAGTATCAAGTTACTTATCAACACATACACACACACACACACACACACGTACATATGCCCCTTCCTTTCGCTGCCTTCTACCTACACACAGACCCATACACACAGATACATAGCTGCGTAGGCATTGATCGTGGATCTACAATATGACGTAACAATAATTTCAAGGTTCGAGCTGTCATCTGAATACCAGGAAATATATAAGAGAATCAAAAGAAAACGAAACTAAGAGAAATATATAACTTACCTAAACATATATACACATATATTGATATACATGTATTCCTATGATATTTTTTGTATGCAACTCTTTGTTATTTTACGGTTCATGTCCTACCTGCATATATAGCCCACATACAAGCATATATAACTTAAGCGTATATGCACTTTGGCATATAAGGAGAGCTGAAAACAAAAAAAAAACAACACAATGAAACAATGTATAGAACACAAGATGCATATATATATATATAGAGCAGAGACAACTGATATAGAAAACTGTATAATGTATAATTAGTATATACAATATGCGTTATACACACCCTATATTAAACTGATATATACGAGCGGGCATATTTGTTGGTGCCCATATATATTCAACTATTGTACAATGAAATAGCAAAGCTAACGAACAAACAGCATCAACATAACAACAACAACATCAGCAACAACAACAACAACAAAAATACCAACAAACATCCAAAGGTGTATAAAACAAAGAGAGAAAAAAACAAAACAAAACAAAAAAAGCAATGAAAAACAAAATAAAAAAATAACAAATTCATATTTTCTAGAACATGTATGAGAAAAAAATAAAAAAGCAGAAGAAAATCGAAAAATGAAATGAAAAAGAAGATGAAGATGAAGAAAAAACTAAACTAGCTTTAAGAAGTGATTAATAAAAAGAAAAACCAATAACAAAGATCTTACAATATGTTTTGAGTATGGAATGGGATATAACAAATTATATATCCATATCAAGTGAAAGACTCAACGAATCAGATCAAAAATCTTTGCAGTTCTTAGGTACAGGCAATATAAATATTTATATATTTATGGATAAGTACAAGCGGGTATCTCCTAGTCGGGCACTCCTACCTATTTGCCTTGATTGTGGCTTTTCTCTCAGATACTTTCAGTAAACTGTGTCTGATATATGAATAATAGCGATACAATATCTTTTGATCAGCAGGACTACAGTGCATACATATAAGCAGACAGTGTGATACCTTTTTATGCTTCAGATTCAATGCCTTCTCACATCTATGAACCCAGACTTAACTATAGTCAAATCGTATTTTAGCGAATAGAAATTTCTAGTTTCTATGGAAATATTTTAAATTCCATTTTCAATTAAAGTTTCCATTAGTACTTCTAGTCGATTGGTTTACTTATCTATTCAGTCTGTAAAAGGAAATAAGCTAGGCGCTAAGCGGGCGTATATGAATCGGAGATGCTCTGTCACTCATGCTCTGATGAAAAGTGAGTTTCTTTTGATTTTTGTATGAATCTATACGATTCTAACTGAGAAAATGTCTGTCTCTTAAATTTATTAATGATCATTATCTATTTAAAAATAATTTTAATCAAATTAGCTTTAAAGTATCCCGATCAGACATATCGACTCGACCGTGCAACCTGTTCAAGAATATACATACCTCATTAGGCTGGCGCCGTCCTCTGCTGCCTGACACATAAATTTTTTACTATCAAATATGATGTAAGATGCATTAAGGCCTTGCTGCGGCTTAGGCTTGTTCAGTTTATGGAAACTTTGTTTTATTTCATAATCTATTAAAGTAGCAATATACATATGTCTCTCTCTCTCTCTCTCTCTCGCTCTCGCTCTCTCTGTCTGTGTGTTATGAATAAGTGTATTTGGTGGCTTCCGCCACCAACTGAGAAAACGCTTAAAATTTAATTTTGTGGCTCATACTTACAAATTGCCACCGTAAACCCAATTGCTTCTGGATGAGGTTCTCGGGAGCTGGTCGTGTGTCTGCTGGGGGGTCGCTGGTCGCTGGGTCGAAGGGGTCAGTAGAAGCCATTATCTAGACATTAGTTGCGCCTGCTAACTGCCTGGCAACACCTGCAGCGGCGACGACTGCTTAGAGCCGAGCTTGTAATTAAAAGAAATTGCTACCTGGAGCATGCCAAGCGCTGAGCCACTGTGCAACCGGGCAACTGTTGAACCTGGCTGCTCCAACGCATTGTTGACCCTAATTTAAAACTATCAATAACTGCGCGCCACACAGAACACACTCAAGTCTCTAGATTTCGATCTCGCGCGCGCAGTCTAAACAATAAAATTAATGTCTCCGGCGGCTCTGGTCAACCGGCAGGCCGGCCACTTAAGCGACCCGCACACCATCATTCCATGCCATGCCATTCCATTCCATTCCATTCCAATCCATTTCGTTTGCCGAACAGGTAGCAGTCGTAAAGAGTCGTTAAGCAACAACAATAACAAGCGGACAGACGGACGTTCGGACAGTCGATCAGTCGCCAAATGTTGTGTACGAATCATGCATGCTCTTTCCTCATATGGAATTTATTCGTTTTTTGTACGTATTTAATTACTTGACTAGGTTTCTTAGACAACTAATCACTGAGACTATATATAAAGCTAATGTCTACATATACAATTTTTATACATTTTTTTATCACTTATAAATTTTGTTTTATATTAGAAAAAGATTGTTTCAGCATTATTTTATTATTACTCTTTTTTTTTATGATTTATTATTTTAGTATTTACAATTTTAATGTAAGAATTTCTGTTTCTTGACATATATATTTTTTATATTTTTTAAAGGCATATTTAAGAATAGGCTAATATATATATTGCAGTTTTCATAGTTAGATCTTTTACTACATTTTCTGATATACATATATATTTTAATATATTTTGTCAACTCTAAATATTAGTTGAATATTACTAAAGCAGTCAAGTGAGCAGATTGTCTGTGGAGCTATTGCAAAAGCCGTTCAGCTGCATCATTCACAGACTTTGCTATTTGCCTTGTTACTCTATGTTGAGCTATAACCAGTTGGGAATTGCTAAGTGGCAGCGAGCTAAATCGAGCGTTAAACCTTGCTGATTTGTGAATTCACTTGGGCCCACTCTGCAAGTCTAGCCAACAGCATATATATCATACAATAGATTTTTACAGACTTTAAATAGGCTTTATATTGTTGTAGAAATGAAAGTTAGTGTAGATTCTTATAAGAGCAGCATGCCAAATCAGAAGACAGGAGCGAGCAGCAGACATATTTCAATCTCTAAGAGTTGCAGAACTAGAATTTCCCTGCTTCTTCAAATACCTGACTTACAGATCTCCTATATATCACACTATATATGCACACAATCCAATAAACTAAGTCCATCAACTGCGTTGCTTGTAGAGCATACACTATTTTAGCCTGGCTAAAAGGCAAGGGCATCCAGCAGCGTAAACTAGTTTGGGTTTCTGTTATTGTTTTTATTTTTGTTATTTTTTTTGGGGGTTGGCGGGGTTTTCCCAGCCATATGGATTGCTGTGCAGCTCACTGGGCTAAGCTGCTAAAAATCATTTTTCAAACACACACACTTAAGCCCCGCTGCGAGTGGACGCCGAGTGATCCAGCAACGGTGACACATGTTCCGGGCCAGCAAATAGACGAGCAGTTGGCCAAGCAAACGCACATGAAACAATTATTATTATTAATAAGTTAGTTTTACTCCACGTGCGTAGCGAGTCGAGCAACGGATTGGGCGGGCGGGCCAGTTGGTGTTGTTGCTAGCTGATGAGCGCCAAGATTAAGCATGAAAAATGTTACGAATTTCCCTATAATTAATCTTCATCTGAGCTAAATGGAAGGAGGCAGACACGGACCAGCACCCAACACCCAACACCCAACACCAAGCGCCAAGCAGCCAAGCCGAGCCGGTGCTCATGCAAAAGAGTTAAAATAATAAAAGTACACACACTCACACACACACACACACTTCCAACTACCCTTGGCTGCTGGTTGTTGGCGCCCGAATTCGAATTGTCCTTAAGCTCAACAAATAGTTAAAGGCAACAGCTGCACACGGTACCATCGGGGCTCTCGCTCTCTCCTCTTAGACAGGTTAATGGCAATGCAAATATATACACATAAATATATTACACTATATATGCATACATATGTGTATGAATGTAGCTGGAATGTAAGCAGCAAAGGCTGTTCGTTTTCCATTCCATTGTCTGCTTGGGCCACGGCAATTGACTAAATCTCAGAACAACAAAAGCTTTGCAAAAGCATTTCAGCTATTCATAAAGTAAATATCAGAGCCATGAAGTTAGTCAGTCAACTATAGGCATATTTAAGAATGGGTTAAGGACTGAGTAGCCGGACCTGTACTCAAGTTGTGTTGCATCAAGCAAAGCCTAAACTAAAACTGAACTAGAATTGCTGAAGAATATATTTTACTGTGCATTTTTTAAGAGTGACACAAGCTAAAATTGTAATAAAATAAAGAATAATATTTTTAGAAATAATGA